ACACCTCCTGTAAAAAGGTGGAAAAAACTGCTTCACACCCCCTCCCTTCCCCCCCCCCCAAAAAAAAAAAAACCCAAAACCCACCACCAAAAAATGCCCCCACCTTCAAAGCCTCAAACCTCTTGCCTTGCCATGACAGTTTCCTTCTTGTCTGCTTATTTCATAATTGTGAGCAGAGAACCACATGCAGGGGCTCTGTGCTCATTTACAAAGATGAAGTGAAAAGCAAACTATTGTTGCTAACTGATGGTATCAGTTATTGCTATTATAGCAACACCAAGGGCTCTCAGAAGGACTGGAATCCCACTACACCAGTATATACCACACTTAATACAAGAAGTACAGTACAAATAATATTTGTTTCATATCTATAACAATATTGTTCCAGTATAATTGCACATTAGTTGACCCTGAGAACAGTGCACAGAATAATCTAGTTTCTAGAGGATCATTTTGCTTTTTTATTGCCAAAATATGCAACACATTGTTTGCTTTGTATTGTAGGCTGTCACTTAGCAGTATAAGTTTTGCCCTCATCCTAAAAATGACTTGGCATCAGACCTGGGTACTTCAAATGCCTGAAACTCTTGACAAGCCTTTTTTTTTTTTTCTTTTAAGTCATCTAAGCAGTCAGTTCTTTGGACTCCTAAAGTCTCCAGGAGAGAATATTTTATTTTAACAATTCTGTAATGTACTTGGCTGCATAGGCCAGTGGAAAAGTTTTTCCATTTCCATGTTAAATTATTTCATGTTTTTCAGCCCTGTGAAAAATTCCACACTTGAGCTTTCAGAAAAACTTGGACACAAAAATACTTATGAAAATCAGCTTTTATTGATGAAAATCTGATTCCTGGTCAGTTCTTGTTACAGTATATTCTTAAAATATTTATTTTCAATACACCTGTTTTACGGTATCCCTTATTCAGGGTACCACCAAAGGGCAGAGCATAATGAAATAATGGAGCATGTTATATATGTGGAGCACATGAAATCTTGGCACAACAACTGTGCCAACAATATTGAATTTCCCCATGTGCAAAATTATAGAAAGCAATATTTTGTCTATGGAAATTCATAGGTTTCTCATTTACTTTAATTAAAAACAAAAAACAAAACAAACAACAACAAAACAAAAACCCAAACCACCAACAAACCACTAACTGGTCTTTTCTCTTCCATCAAAGTGTAACCAAAAGCACCGTGACTTATATGTGGTAAAGAGGACTTGCAGGTACCAAACTCCAGGACTCTATCCATCTCTTTAGCTTCTCTCTGCCCCAGTCTCCAGAAGTTCATCTCCAGGGTTCATCACCCCGTATGTCTCTCGAGAAGCAGAAAGGACAGCTCTCACAGGCAGCCCGCTGCAACCTGCTGCCCCATCCCCCCTTCCCGCAAACTTCTGGGCCCTTCCGAGTGCAACACTCAGTTCAAACGAACACCATGTTGCCCCCTTTTTGGCAAAGTGTTTTGAGTGTTAGCATAATTTAGTTAGTTAGAATGTTTTGAAACTTGGAGATGACAATATACACTCAAAAAAATTAGCATTCTAAAGGAATATGACAGATTAATTATATTTTCATTGCTTCTAAGATTGGTATGATGCAGCATTTCCACTCACCTTTGTCAGGGCCAGGCAAATTGGAATCGCTTCGTGGCAAAGCACCGTCTCCAATGTGATTAAACAGCATTCTCTGTAAATTGAGAACAGCATGGTTTATGCATAGCTGCTGTTGTATTTCAGTAGCCTTTAAGAAAACAAGTATCTTTTTATTATTATCCCCGCCACACAGGTCTACTTTGGAGGTAGAGTGATAAGCATCACCTAAGAACGTAAATAGTTTAATAAAAATATGTGTATATAAATAGGGAGTAGACTAGTTTTCTGAAAACTGTACACACTGGAATCAGGGGGAGGATTATTATGTACTGAGTTCTGACAGTTTCCAACTCCCAAAAAAAAAAAAAGGCTCATTCCTCAAGTGGTATCTTGATAGATTACTAAACAACTGCAGGGATAGATTTGCGATAATTTCATTGCAGAATCAGGATCTAAACAAGGTGTAATGTTTGACAATGTCCAAGTCACAGCTGTCATCTTAGAAGAGCAGTGTATTATTTCCAACCCTGACTTTTTTGGTAGCAGCGTTCTTAGTTCTCTTGTGGATAAGAGCTGACCCATAAAGTGTGTTTGTCTTTCCTTTTCTGAATATTTATTTAAAAAAAAAATCACAGTGAATTTATGAAACAATTTTAAGATTCCACTAGTTATTTCTTTTGGCAGCATTCAAATAATCCATGGGTCACTAGTTTATCTTAGTAACAGATGTAAACAACATACAGTTAATTCTACAAGTAATTCAGATGTACTTTCCAAAGGAAATGAAAACAGACAAACTTTACTTTTTTTTCCTTCCTTTTTTTTTTAAAGCAAGATCAGACAATCAGTGAAATCCAAATCAAATCAAATCCAATTGTTATATCTCCTCCTCTGTTCACAGAGGACCAAGCAGAATCAGCAAAGCACTATGCTGTGGTTCCACCAGATGGCAAACCCAGCTGCGAAGTAATCATCATTGGTCTAATGTTGCAGCTCCATGTTACAAAGTGAGGAACAAATACTTGGCCAATTCAACTTGACTTGAAACAACATCTCAGAGAGAATGCTTTGGTAGACTTTGAGCTACACTAGGTTTGCCTATCCATGCTGTACAAGAGTCCTACTGGATCAGGTAATATCTGTTTTTCTGGAGTTACCATTAAACTAAGGTGGTGCAACTACATGCATATTCTAATGTGACGGAAAATGTGATCATATGTTCCTGCCTGGTCTGGATTGAATGTTCACTGCCTAGTGAGTCTGCAGTGCATCAGGATCTGGTGGGCAAGTGTTGAAGTCTATTTTCTGTTGTGAAGGTAAAGAGCAAAGGCTGAAAAAGCAACTAAATTGGCGGAGGTAAAGAGACAAAAGCTGAATGAAATACAGAAAAACGAGGACATACTAAAATAATGAAATATAAAACCGTATGGAAGAACAAGAGCAATCACAGGATGTTTAATGAGACACAAAAAAACTCAAAAATGTGAAACCCAAAAAGCTCCATTAGAAAGAATAATAGTGCAAAAACTAAGGAGGCTTGTTGACCAGTCAATGGCAGCAGGCATTCCTCTTCAGAGTATGGGAAAAGATGGAGAGACACTGTACAATCACTCAGCCAGAGATCAAAAAGCAAGCACAAATGGATTTTGACTGAAAACACCTGTACATAGATAACATTGAGCATCAATTTCAATGAGGGAAGCGGATACAGTACTGCTGTGGTCTTGTTCTATGAAGTCCATCAAACTTCCTTAAATGAGGTAGCTATGGCCTGAAAGGACTTCAAGTGCAGGAATTTGCCTGTGTATCTCATCTTTCCCAGTTGAAAAACTGTTGTGAAAATTGCATTCATTAAGCCATAACAAAGACATTCATAAATGGGTGGTCCATTCCTCATGAACTTAGTGTGAAGCTCCAACCAAGACTATTAAGGTTAACTGGTGTTAGAACAAAAATAGAAAGGACAAGGAACAGTTTGAGCCTCTAAATTCTAATGAGAGTTGCAGGTATCTCTAAGATATCTCCTCAGAATTGTCCTGAGGATTTATTTTCCTCTTTTTAATCAGAAGGCAGAGAATCAGCATTTTGTTTCTGGTCATGGTCCATTTTTACTGCTTGGGGAATAGAGCACCAAAGAAAGAAATTGCACCTTTCCCCAGAAAGATATCTCCTCATTTATGGTTACGAGGGCAGAAAGAAACTGTCAGACCTTCTCACCTTTGAAACATACTTCACTGTACGAGCAAGTTAGTTTTCTACTTACCCTCTCTTGGGAGACTGAGGGTAGAGACAGATTGGGAGATTTTCCTGCTGGGCGAGTCTCAGAGAGAGTGGAGACTGGGCCTACGAGCTCCTCAGCCTCCCTTATCGAATCTCGGGTAGAGTGGGGGATAGAAGTCACATTCCACTTGGCAAAGCAAGAGTTTGCAGTCTGGGAGCAAAAATGGGATAATTTTTTCTTTGCGGCAAACTGTAAAACCGCTTTACTTATAGAACATCTCCTGGTCTTTCCTGTATGTTTGGTTTGGCTCCACTACCACTGAGAAAGTGCCCAGTAGATATATCAGTAAGTAGTTCCTGAGAACTGCCCTTAAGTCTGGCTAAGCTTCAGTATTACTTCTTAAGCCCTCAGGTAACAGCATGAGGGCTTAAAGAGAAAAGAGGAAAAAATGAAATCAAAAGCCAATTCAATAACTGAAGCAGCAAGGGACAAGAATACAACTAATGAGAAACCAACAAATCATTTATAAAATAAAGGATCATAGACTACCAAGGTGGTTTTTTTATCAGAGGCAAAATTTCTGGTGAAAATAAGAGTGTTGAGACGAGGGCCTTTCACACTGTACTTATATTCTCGTCTTTCTCAGCTTCAGCAAGAAGTGCATTGTGTGATAGCATGGGTTAAAAGAGCAACTGTGTTAAAGGAAAGCACTTTAGGAAAGTAGGTCCATTAAGAAGAAAAGATGAAATAAGGATTCAAAATTGGCCAGCTCACCAAGCTCATTTTGTATTTCCGATACCTCAAAAGATACAAATTTCATACAGACCTACGTAACAGTAATTTTAAGGTAAGAACTCAACTCATTCTTTTCTCTGGAGTAACAAAATCTATCTTTCTTTTCTGAAACTACACTGAGAAAAAGGAATTGCCACATGGAGTGGGTTATTATCTCACAGTGGCTAGGATTAGCTATTTCAGAAGAAATAAAGGGGAGGTCAACATGGACAACTGCCATGATAACGGTTTTTCTTTCTTTCTTCTTCCCTAGATTGAACCAACGCTGCTGTTTCACACAAGCAGGCTGTGTCATCTGGCAAGTCTTTGCATCTCTCTCACTGCAGTGAGTAAATATCAAAACCAGATCTAAACCTAGACAAATCAAGCAGAAATGCGATCAAGCACCATGTAGTCTATTCACATCTCTTTCATGTATAATATTTTTGAGCATTTGCTTATAAAAACAAAAAAACCCCTTGAAAATTAACAGCAATGAGCAGACACTGAATCTGCTTGAAGTTCAACAAGCACCTTTATCGTCTTCTTAGCTACTTGTGTTCAGAGGCCTCCCAACAAGCTTCCTACCTGTGAGGTTTCCGAAGGAGTAGGGTAGATAGCACTGCAGGGCCTCTCTCTTGGGGACAGGCAAGAGTTTTCTCGGGAATGCTTATGTTTGTCAGACAACAGAGGAGAGGCTAGAATACAAATGTGTCAAGTGATTAAATTCATGCAGTGAAAACTCAGACATTTCAATTCTACACTTATGACAAAGAAATCCTCTATCTCCAATAATTCCTATTTCTCATATAATTGGCTAAATTTGATGTCTGACCAGTGATATCATGCAGAAATTCAGCTGTGTAATGTATCAAGAACCATTTAATTTGGTTTACCATGGGAGACGAGCACTGACCTCTGGCACTGGATGGAGCAGAACTGGTCACATTAGGTGAAGCAGAATGAGTGGAACTCAGGCTTGAGGTAGATGGACTAGGCTGCGTATAGAAGAGATGCTGTTGTTACCACATGACACTTACTGGTTTGGAAAACTAAAATTTATAACATACTTTTCAAAAATTTATAATGTACTTTTCAAGAACTTGTAATTTATTAGACTAGTTTTTCAGTATTTCAAAATAGCAAACCAGTATAAAAAGCATTAATGTAACTACACAAACATGTAGTAAAATATCAAATAAATAGAAATGAAATTAATATATTGAAATAATTACATCATAACTGTGACAAATGGACAGAAAAGTCTATGTAAGGTCAGATGACTTTGCATCAGTGCATTACTGCATGTTACTTTTGTAAAAAATTCATGCTCTAAGTTAAAGAAGAAAAAACAATTACATAAAAATTGTTCTTTCTAAGTTAAGGAGGTTAAAAGCCCATTTAAAGATTTGTTTTTTAAAAGAAGTATCAGCAATAACTTTAGATTTCTGAATGAAATGATAGAAGCATTAATTTAGTAAATAGCCTTGTAAGAAAGATTCTGTTTAGTTTGAAGAATTACAATAATTTGTACCTGCATGTTAAAAACTTCATCGGAGCTTTCTGATTGCCCAGTGATATTGCTGACTTCAGCAGAAGCTTGGGATGACAGTGATGAGGATGAATACCGATTGACAGCTGGGTAACTCAAGGGACTATATGAATAATGAAATACAAAATGGTTAACTCTAGTTGCCAGTCATAATTTTTCATGTGAAAACAGCGCATGTTTATTAATCTCCACAGTTTGGAGTTATTGGCGGGGAGTGAGGTGAAGGGAGAGAGTATATATATATATATATATATATCAGCTATTAATGACTGAAGATACTTCATGCGGACCATACAAGGAACCGTGCACACAATAAAAGTATTTTACGGGTCATCTTCCATGAGTAACAAAATCTATCAGTTTCTAGTAAATTAACTTGCCTGCGTCGTGGTATTACCCTGGCACCATCAGGGCTCATAGAAACAGGTATGGAATTTCGGCATACACGAGGACTTCCATTTGGGAAATGAATAGGGCTAGCTTGTACACAGGCAGAAAATTCCTGGTGAGTTGTTACAAGAAGAATAATTAAAATGAACGTAATGTTATTAAGCATTTTGTAAGATACAGTTAGTCATTTGAATAGTTATATCTGCATTTTGGATCAGCTTCATCATTAGCAAGAAAAATATCTTAACTTTCCACTGATGATAATTTCCCTTTAGTAAAATGTGACTATTTGTCTCTGCACTGTATGGAAAGTTTATTAACTTTCTCTTCACTTTGTGGTACTGTAATACTTCTGCAAGTTGTAATGTGGGCAAACAACCAAAAGATGTCACTATTTGTTGCTTAGCAAAATGAAACAGCCCTTACTGAAGCTAAACCTGGTTTATCCATGCACCTGCTTACATACCTGTATTCCCAAGCTTGACTTCATCACAAAGAACTGATCCACCAGCTTTTTGTGCAATGGCCTCATGTCCTGCGGCACCACCTTCTCGTGCACTGCCAAGCCAAATTCTAGAATCTGAGCCTGCAGAAGAGACAGGAGGAAAGAGGGGAAGAATATATTTTTGATCCTTTTTCTTTAAGCTTTCATCATCAATTAGGATACTAATAAAAAAAAGTCCAACAAAATGCACATTGTATTAAAAGCATCTAAATCCCTGACAGACCTGTAATCAAACAAGGCCTAAAGCCAAACCCAGTAATACACAAGAGGATTTATGCCTCTTCCCATTTTACTATTCAACTTTCCCAAAGATTTGGCCTATGCAAATTCAACTCTAATATAAGAAACCACCATAGATAAATTAGTGAAAAATCTGGATAAATGGCAACTTTGCAAAGGAGCATTCTAAACCCTAAATAAAGAGCTGTTTTCTACAAGAACAGCTATAAAAAGCATGAAACAGCAGCAATGGCCACATCCACCAGAGACCCTGTAATATATTTTCAATGATCTATGGTTCCCTATCCTATTATAACTCCCCAGAGACCTCAGTAAGTGGTGGCTTTATGTGTATTCTTGACACAAAGCATAACAAGCTTCAGAATAACCTTGCTAAAACTCTAATCTTGCTCAGATTTGGTCACAGGCATTTAAAATACTGAATTGGTTACATGAGGAATCAGATAAAGTCAAATTTAAAAACAACATAGCTACACTATGCTGTAATATCTTTGGATGAGAGCTCCTGGCTGACGTTTTCAGGCAGCCTGTGAGCGGGCACACAGCTGCACAGCTTCACTGACCCGGGGTCAGGACTGCAGCACATCCATCCACGCACAGAGCCATCCCGCCCCTTCTCAATGCTCTGCGTTTTCTGTTAAATCATCTGTGGGTGCCACAGGGTTTAACTGCTGTCACTTGGAATTCAAGTTTTTGTCATAGGAAGTTATTAACTCCAGTTTTAAATTGTAAGGGTTAGTGAGATTAACTACAGCTTAAAAAAATGAAACTGCAATGTAAATTACTATACGTTATCTAAAGGAAATTAAAGTGAGCTCAGTGAACCTATTCTGATTTGTACTGTCTGAGGATCTGTCCCTTTGGCTGCTCCAACCAAAAGATACCACAATGCTGATGAAAAATGGAATTTCCATCTTGCTAAATTCCAATACTCTGACCTCTTTATCCCAAGCTGGCAATAAAGTTTGAAATTTCAACATGCTGCATAGAACAAAGATAGGTAAATGTCAGTTAAAAAAGCTGAAATACTTAGTAAGATCATTTAATGAATATAATTTATTTCAGCATTTCCAAATGGGGACACTTCATATTTGAGGCTGCAAAAATCATATAATGCATAGCATACTCATCTGTTTAATTTAATCACTTGGTGTTTCGTTTACTGCCTACCTACTTCAGCAATTATTATTAGATGTCTTCCACTGTAATAAGATTTTTCAGGTTTTTTTTGCTCTTATGCTAAACCTTGTAGTGAAAATGTTTGTTCTGTAGTATTGGTAAAATACGTCATACAAATATTTGCTGAAGCCATCAAATGTTTCCATGAGACAATGTTTATTCTGTAGTAGTGGTAAAATGTGGTGTGCAAATATTTGCATATAAGCATCACAAGACAAAAACTTACCACTCATTCAACCTTTAATTTAGAATAGTTTGAAGTGATTAATATGATGAGGAAAAGGACAAAGGAAAAAAATATTAACGTGACCCAGAAACCTGCTCGTATAGGAAGTTGCTGTCTACTTAGAATCTAATTCAGAAGATACTGAAGACTACTGGGCTATTATTTACCTCTGAAATTTTATATTTTATTTTGGGACACTTTTAGCTAGAACAGCTGAGCAGGCCACCTAGTCAGTCTTTTCCCCACTTTACCTGCTCGAGCATCAGCTCTCTCAAGCGCGTGATCTTCTCCCCATCCTCTGGATGGTTCAAGATGTATTCTTTGACAAAGAATGCCTAAGCAGAATAAAATCACAAAGTAACATAGAGTAAGAACACACCACTGTTTTTTAAACAAATTTCTAGATATTTTTTGAAACAAAAGCTCCTTTCTACTGCAATAGAGGATAATAAATGCTAAATAATTAATTATTCACATATGCACTGGTGGAGACTATGAGCAAATAAGATGTAGCCACTCTTGAGTGGAATTTACCAGTTGTCCAGCACAGATCCTGAATCAAATTTGGAAACCTGCACACCAGAGTTGAAACCAAACACAGGTCACCTGAACTAAATATCCCTTCCCCATTAATTGGGACATAGGAGTTTCAAATAATTACAGAGAGTTAGATTTTCCTGTCTTTTCATACTAGGAGCTTCATTATCCCTTAAATATAAAGATAGCTTAAGAACAGCATGGAATTGTATGCTATTATATGTATTGGAGCTGTGACATCATCATCTTATTCACTCTTCATATAAATAATGTTTTAAAGAACTCACAGTGACATTGATGTCAAAAAGCCAAACTTTTTACTTCAGGAGCATCTGACGAACATCCAGGTGTGTTCATGAGCTCACATGACTTTCCACCCCATCTCCAATGCTCAAATTGCACCAGCTATAGTACCCCGAAGTCATTTTACCCACCAGCAATGGCCTGGACATAGCACTCCCCTGTTTGTTCTTGACTGCATCTTTCTTAACATGGCACCTATCCTACCCTGCAAGGGGATTATACTGAATTTACAACAATTCTTGACACTGTTCTGTAAAGCTCCCAGCTGCTCAGTTGGGAGATTTCTAGACCTTCTCAAGAATGCATTTGTCACAAAAAGTGTCCGTACGCATACCTATACATATACATGGTTTTCTATCCATAGAGCTGAGAGGATAATAGTGGCTGCTCTGTGCTGCGTTTTCCTTTTGCACCTGTCTTAGCATTTCCATCACATACTTTTTACAAGGTTCTCCATCCAACTTCAGCTGTTAAAGTCTTTGCTATGCAGAATCATTAGTAAACATGGGGAGCAGTGGAGCTGGAGATAAGTATACGCCTTCCTCTGATTCAGTTCCAAAACTTTATACTGTGACAACCCGTAACAAGGAAGTGCTGAGACCTGTCTAGAAAATGCTGATACTCTAATGAAGAACATTTATTTCACATGCTCCTTTCACTAAGTAGACTTACAAGAATTCATGTTTAAATTGTTAAAAGGAACCCTCTGATACTTGCTAAAATCCCAAATCTCAAGCTTCTACCAGCTGATTTTTTTTACCCCCTCAGCTACAAGCTTAATGTTCTTTCAGTGTCAAGCAGGTGGTGTCCCAGTGGTTTTGGGCTGAGATTTATACAGATCTGTAATATGAGTCAGAAACGTAATACTCTAACTTCAAATAAAGTCACCAGTACTTTAGAAAAAAAAAAAAAAAATCAGAATTTGACTAAATCCGGTAACATTCTTGGAACCGGTGGTTTCCAATAATTAATCGGGAAAGCGCCTCTACTCTTCTAGCACATGTAAAGGAGCTAAAAGAAATGTAACGTACAGTACAAATTGCAGTTTGAGAGGTGTTAGTGGGCACAAAACACACTCTTCCAGCAGTGTTCAGAAAAATTTTAAAAAAATCAGTAGTTCAGTCTACAGCCATTTTTTAGCACACAGGAAGGTGCTGCACAATAATAATTACTTCTGTAGATTTTCCAGGAATATGTTCCTGTATTGAAACCAGTGAAAGCATAGCTTTAACACCTGCAATACTGGTCAAAGTGCTTTTTATCCCATCAGGAGCAGGGAAGGTGGGGGGGGAGGGAAAGGAGGGCAGAATCAAGAAGGCAGCAGCTGGCCCAAGAGCATTATTTGCTGGGTCTTACACTTCTTAAAGCTTGAAAGTTAGCCGAAGGAAAAGAGGGTAATATGTAAAGACATGGTCATGCTTACCTCAAGACCACATGCTCCAAGACTGACTGAGTTTTGAGCTTTGTACAGGGCAGAAGGCAAAAGCAAATGAAACAGATAGGCAGAGAAAAGCATTTACAGAGGAGAGGAAAAGAAGGAAGGTAGAAGATAAAAAGTGACAGCAGGAAGACATATAAAGACTGAAAAAGGGACACGGAAAGAGAGTGAAGGTGCAATAGGAAAAAAACCCAAATCTCAACTATTTCTATCAGTTTTGGTGTTTACAACACAAATTGGTGAGAAGTCCTATTTTAGATATATAGCAAGAAAGGAGGAGAGGACAGAAGGGAATCGAAACATGAAGACTGTCTAGATCAAGAATTGCAGCTAAGAAAAAGATAAGAAAGGAGCAAGCTAGAACCTTTAATATGCTCATGAAGAATGGCAAGCTATGCAGAGACACTGAGCTAGCTCTGACACTGCTAATTCAAACCAGACATAGCTCTGACATGACTCTGTTTCTCAAGGGACTCCTTTCGTGGTGCTTTACTGTACTAAACAGTTTTGTTGTTGTTGTTTAAAGGCAGCTGGGAAACATCGAACATGGTACTGCTTTGCTTTAGTCTCAATTTTCATAACGTTGCAGTTTTGCTGACAGATTCTAACACTATAGCAGATTCAATTTCTTGTAGTTTAATTTAGATACAGTTTTATCAAATTTAACACTGTTGGAGTGAACACTGAATCTTGCAGCCTTTGAGACAAGTGGACAGAATATTACTCAACTTGACATTTTCAATGGAAAAGGAACAACCAGCAGACTCAAGTATTTCATAAGACTATTAGGAGGAAGATCAAGCTGGGCTGAAAAAAAGTATTCTTCGATTCTTTTTACTGCGGTTTCAAAATTCCACAGAACTTTGTGGAAACACAGCATCCCAAACATTTAAGGTTCTCCTAAGGTGATTCAGAAATTATAATAATGAGGAACAACTTTTGGGAACAAATCCAGCGTTAGACTTCTCTTAATTATATGTATTATTTCTTACTAGATTTTTTCAGAAAATAGCTTTCCTTAAAAACTGGGAAAAGAGAAAGAAGAAGGATCTAGAAAAACATGATTCATCAAGATAATAAATTTCTTAAGAATTTTATATGTGTGTGTATACATATATATCTTAAAATTAGAATGTCAGCACACAAAAGTAAATTTACTGGTCACCCAGAAGCAGCTCCTGACCTAGAAGGGCGGGGGGAGGGAATATATTATAATAATATAGTTACAATTAACTATTCCATTAAAAATCCCCAAACGAACTACTAAAGAATGCAAGGTAATTGTAAATCAACTCATTACTGGAGTAAGTTTATAGGACTATCTGCAGCAAAACGGTTGTTTCAGTAAAGGTATACATATTTAACATCACCTCAGCCAAAACTGCAATATAGGTATAATTAAAACTATTATTGATACAGTACTTTCATCTGTACAGAGAAAGAAATCAGTAAGAAACTGTCTTATAACAGATTTTTAATAACAGAAAAAAAATTGCTTACCTCTTGGTATCTAGCAACTCCACCATTAACTGCTGCATCAATGACCCCATTTAGACACATCGTGAGAGGGTTAATATTTTGCATCTGTCGAGTTTGACACTGACTAATCAGCGTTCTCAGCTGCTGGTTCTTATTTTCTAAGACTTCAATGGCATTCTCAAGGGGACTCATTTCCACCTGAAAGGAGGGAGGAACATTGCAAACATACTTAATCTTCAGTTGAAAGATGAAATATATTAAAGGCAACTTTTGATTTCTTAAAGGAAAACAACGTTATTCTATGTTCTAGAGTATTGGGGCAGAAAAAGTTCTTCTCACCTGGGTTACAATTTCTGAGTGTACACTCGGAGCACAGAGATAATTTTTTCATGTAATCAAGGACCAAAATAAACAACCCTTCCTCTCTTATAGATTAATTATCTGACCTTGAGAGATATTCAGCCCTTGCTGCAAAACACTCACACACTTCAGCCTGTGGTGGAACCGTTGGAATTCAGGGCTAAACTGTCCTTGGTAACTTCTTGGGCTTGAGGTCAGGGAGAGCTTCACCATGCTTAAGGGCACAGAGCAGAGCTTAAGTATGGGCAAGCTAGTTCCCCCCTCCCAAGTGAAGTCAACAACTAGACATTATGGATGAGGAGTTTCAATATAAGCTTTGAGCTAAAATGATAATCAAGTTATAGTCAAGGGCAGTCCTTGAGCGGGATGTGCCTGTCCTCCTTTCTAGCGGGTGAGGAAGCTTTTCTCACAGGTAGCATGAACTGCAGGAAAAGCGAAAGGTAAGTGATGGGAAGAGTACAGGCCTGCAGCTGCCATAATTCACCAAAACATACAAGCACAAATCTGAGTCATGATCTAGTACACACCCAGGAAAAATTATTACAGTTAACTTTTGGAAATGGTGACTATAATGGTAACGCAATCGTAAACTGAGGATCTTCACATTAGGGCTCATATTAACCTACTAAGGACTCAGTAGGAGTCAACTAATAAAATTTCTCATGTCACACACAATTTTTTGATTTTTACTAAATTCCATTTTTGATTTTCTACAGGAGAATATGAGGACGGTGAACAAATGACATTTTATTGCTATTATGAAAGAAAACCACAATACAGTTTTAGAGAAAGTCAGTTGTACAATGGTATCCCTATATTTAATGGGACTATTGTAAGACTGGCTTTGACAGGAAGGAAAATAGTTACAGATGTTATACTCCTGGGCTCAACAATTGACCAATTATTTAGAGATCTTTATATGAGGAGCACTCCTGAATACATCTGAAACGTATTTAAGGATTTTCTAAGAAATATAACAAGAAGGCAGGAGAAGAAATTACAATGTGTCAGTAACAGATTGCTACATTAGACCCTGTTCCTACAGGTTCTGTGTAGGCATGCTTCCCTGCCCATGCCGAGATCTGGGAACTTCAACAGAGCTCTAGGCGGACCAGAGATATACCTACATGGCATTCAGTATAGTACAGGAACTTGGAAAATGTTTACTTTTCAAGAACACTGAAAGATATGTTAAGCTATAGATATTCTAAGTACTAAACGTTACATCATGCTGAGTTTTAAGAAAGTCATTTGCTGACATTAAATGTTGCCTTTGGCTGCCCATTATTGTTCTCAACTTCTTTTTTCCTCAACTGTTTAAATGAATCATAAGGGTGGTTCTTAATAACACTTTTCAAGATAAGAGAAATCAGACAACTCAAAATACTTTGTAAATAATTTTGTTGTAGCCAGCTTGAAAACTTGCTCAGTGAAATTAGATATGGGTACCAAATCTTAAAGTAGTTCATCAAAGAACATATGGATGAGGAAGTAAATTAACCCACAATACGTATTGCAGTCAGTCTCATACTTACTACTTCACGTTTCTCCACTTCAAACCAACGAGATATCCCAGGTAAACTCTGCACCAAGATCAGTGTGGTTCTCTCCACCCATAGACTCTACAATATACAAAACCAATTTATCTCATGAATTTGCTCCTGTATTTTTCTTAATTATTCCCAGTTGTCTTTATGAATACCTTCATTTAAGTAACAGTATACATTAAAAAAAAGTATTAATATCCAAATTTCCACTGAAATATCTATCCCAGAAGCCCAAGACATTCACTTTTCTCCTTACTTCCTAGGATCTACTACTAAGCAGTAATTTCTGCTGATTCTTCACTCTTCAGCATGGTATTATTCTATATTACACGCTGTCCCCTAATCTCCAAAACTCACTCACAACTAAATTAGCATTTTAATATTTCCTTTCCGAGATAACATCTGAGAAGAGATAGAGTTCATAAGCAGAACAACTTACAGATCACACAGTGACCAGCTCTCCTCTGTGAATCCTATTTCAGATTCCACAATGCATGGTTGATGGAATACTCAAATGTACTACTGTTAAACACACTGTGCAAGAGGTTTGTAAAATGACAAATCAACACATAGGACAGTACACAAAATATATATAAGCTGTACACTTAAAATAAAGCTCTAAGCTTTAATTAGAGGGCAGCAGTGACTTAATGTAGCTAATGTATTACCCTTACAGTTCTTTCCTCTAAATTTATAACAAAATTATTATGGGATAATTCTCTGTGTGTGTCTGAATACCAGAATATATTCTGCGTCAGGATGTAAGTGTTTCTAATGGGTCAGAATTAAAATTATGCCAGAAGAATGTAAGGTGAATTTTCAGTGTGACATTTTTATTAGGAGGAACAGAAGTCTTTTACATATTAGGGAAGGAACTATTGCTCTTCCCCGAGACAATCTCTAAGTTCAGAGGTAGTTTCTAGTCTTGATATCACAGGAACAGAACATTATGCTGCAGTTTAGTCAAAACTGTCTCTCCCTTGCTCTAGGGAAATATACTTTTGGCAATCCTATCCATACCCCAGATTGATTACTTAACCATGTTTTCCTATCTGCCTTACAAACTTCTTTGGAGCCCGCTCTGTTGTCTCCAGTTCTGCCTTCTATATATCACTGATGCAAGAACAAATGGGTACTTTTTTCTCTCCTATTCCCATACACAACAAGACCTTCCCATCTCCCATATATTTTTCATATTATTTTAATTAAAATGAGAAGTGAAATAGTCAAACCTGAGCTACTGTCTCCTCCAGAGAATTTGTTATACCACACTCAGCTGAATAACACAACTGTAGATGACATTTCAATAACACAACTATTGTTGATGTTACAAATAAATCCATAGGTCCAGTAGCTTGGGAAATGGCATGGTATTTTACCTTGAATTCATTCTCCTTGTCCTTAGTCCCTTTGTGAAATGGCCTGTCATATCGAAATCGCCAGATGTGATTTACTTTGTAAAAGCTCTTGATGTTATTGGGAATGCCGTCTCTCTGCAGGACTTCCTGGTTTTCTGGAATTGGTGTCACTGCATAAATCTGCAAATCTACACGTAAAGAGTTAAGGCTATCCCACTTCATTCAAATTAGCAAAGCATATTGACTCCTGAAGCATGACAAAAGAAAAACTCTTTAAAAAGTGTGTATCATTAAATGCTTCTAGACTATTAATGGCTTGGAAAAGGATCTAGAGAGATTTTTTTGATGGTTTGGGATTTCTTTGTACTGTTTTGTTAAAAATTTTGTACATATTTTTGAAATACAGCTACTTACATGGAATAGTACATGGACTAAAGGGATTTAATTAAATATATTCTTACACACAATGTGTTATGCCATGCTAACATTCTGTTGTATTGTAAGAACTTGAATTACTGTAACTTGAACTGATACACCATTATCACAGCGGTGCTAGTTCTACAAGTATTTTTGGATAAAGTAAGAATCTTAATAACCTGCAAAGGGATTTTTAAATAAAACCAACAATTACACAAAAAAATTCCAAACATAACAGAGTGACTGGGACAAATTGCAAGGGAATTCTCACCTACCATTTATTTCAGTGGAGGCACATCATGATTGAAATTGGCTATAGATGTACCTACATTTTTTAAAAGCATAGAAGACGTAACTGCAGTGTATGGGTTTGTGATTATGTGGATACACTGTGCTTCTGCCTGAAAGATGGTCTCATCTGGCTGATTAGCATGTTGCATAGCAATGGCATGCGGGAACTCATTCAACATTCGCTGCTGGAAGGCCTCCAGCCTTTCATAGTCATGTCCTCGGCAAACAAATTCCTTATTCTGAGCAGAATATGGAAAAAAAAAAAAAAAAAAACAAACCACAAAACAAGAGCAAGTTATGCAAAAATAATTGGGTATCATTAGATAGATCCAAACACGCGCTCTTAAATATAGACTTTCTGGGCAATTTTTACATCATTTTAAGAAGGAAAAAAATATGAAACAAAAGGCAAGAATGAAAATAAGCAATCTAGAAAGAACAGGTTACTTAGAAGGAAATCTTACCATATAAAGTATGTTTTATTCAAAAGTCTGGAAAAATCAAATAATTATACTTAAAGCGTTAATAAAAATCTGAAGGGAGAAATTGTTCTTATTGGATTAAAATATATAACTAATACAACTTATCAGATTGTATAAAATATGTAACAAAAATATAATGCAACAGACAGTTAAGACAATGAAATGGCCTGAAAGTCCTTTCCATGAGGAACTAGGAAACTTTGCTTTGAAGTTACACAATTCTGAAGAAAAACAACGCATAACAAAATGGTAGAATGCATTCAATTTGCCTTGTCCTCTACATGCTTATGAATTATCAGCCTGGTAAATTAAAATTATCCAGTTTTTGCAATATGAAGTAAAAGAATACTCCTGGCTCCAACATAATTTCTTTTACCTGGATGCCCACTATGAAGTTGCACCATTATTTTCCTGAGATTGTACAACATCAATACAGATACAACACACAACCTATAGTAAACTTGAGACTCCTGGATCTGGAGTACTGTTGGAACTAGTCACTGACCATGGTGGTGCCGAGGGCTTCCTGTAGCTGTGGACAGCACTTTTTGGTTTGATTCTCCTTGCACACATGTTTGAAAGAAGGAAATATCTTAACCATTTTTCTAAAAACACTGTTAAATGAATTTCCTTTTAAAATCTATACTAGAAAATTCTAAATAGTCATTACTAATGTGTTCCTCTTGAAGCAGGTCTAGATAGAAACAGTTGTTGTCTTTATTCTATCTTGACAACAGAGACAGGAAGCATTGAATTCTGAGAGCCTGGACTTTCATGGGAATCGCTGCAAGAAATCAACTGCCATAGTGTTATTGTGCAACTACAAATTAAAATCTGAAAGCTTTATTTTATAGTATTCCTTCTATAGCAAACACAGCCAGAGTTACAAACTGCTTTGCCATAAAAAAATTAAATCAAATGTAGTAAGCTTTGAGGTGTTCCTTGTTGGTGCTGCAACCATAAATCTGTGCTATGTACACTTGGAAAATGCATAAGTACTTCCTGGGCAGATGCATAAGCAGTAAGAGACCTACAGGTCTGAGAGGCCTGCACTATTGTGCAACTTTTTCTAGTATTTTTACTTCATCAGTTGACGTATTTTTAGTAATCTAAACATTAAATTCTTTCTAATTAACATTTTGAATTGGTTTATACAGATGTTATATTCAGATGACTACTAGGTAATATCAAAAACTATGTGCCCATCAGACTTTTTATGCATTGCTTTTAAAGGGAGAGTTTCATGCTATATTTACCATTTGGAATTTGCAATTTTCCCCACCACAAAGGCAAAGTTCCTTCGTCACTTATTTGAACTACCATAGGAAGAGGAGCTTGAATTATGATTGCAGTGACTCCATGAAGAAGATGGATTCTGTTCTCTTCCCAAGGTGACAGTCAATGCAGCTAAACCACTGCAGACTGTGGAAGAGGGGAACAGGGTAAACAGGACTAACATTTCCAAGGGCACTTCAGTAACTTCAGAATCCAAGATTAATGTTCAAGGGTAACTTTATGTATCTTGTCAGCTTTAGTACATTGACGATCAATGAAACTCAGCATGTTGAATTTCTAAGTAATTTTAAAAAAAATGGAACTTGGGAGTGTAATTACTCAAATGCTAAATTACTGATGTCCCACTGCCAAGGGATGCCTCTTCTGACAGCATTCTGAGAGACCACCAGCAGAAGCAGAACAGGATGAACAGAACAAACTACCATGAAAAGATGATGTTGGTTTGTGGATTAGTATAGGTGCATGTTTTCTAACATAAACAGGAATATTAAGTTTATGTGGGAGTCTGGAAGCCTAGTATTTGTCTTTCCATTAGACACGACCTTTTCTTAACCCTGAAAACATGAAGATATTTCATCAATTACTGCAAAGAATTCCCTGTTTCTCATAGGGTAAGAACTTGTATATGGTATGATCAAATTCTCACATAGAGAAAGTGATTATGACTGATAGCATGAATTCCAGAATTACTCCATTCTGTTTATTTTCAATTCACTTACTCTCAAGAAGAATGGGAACTTTTTCCCATAAAATCCAACTCTGAAAAATTCTGGCTCCAAACGCTGTTGATCCATGATTTTATCATACAAAGATGCTTCCATCATCTGGGTGAGATTGATAAGAAATGCAATTAGTCTTTTTTGAAAACATATTTTTACCTTAAGCTATCACAAAAGGGAGGGTCTTTTAGCACACTGCTCTGGTGTACTGGAATCGCAGTGCACCTCTGAGCAATGATAAGGACATCTAGAAGTCTCTGAATGCATCAGATTAAATACTTATACCTCTTAGTGACCTGAAAGTTTCCAAGAATTAAAAAAACATGCTTTTAAATATGAAGTACCTATATTAAAGGGGTAAAATATTAGATTAATGACAACATGCATAGTTCTTTAATGAAAAATGGAAGTAATAGAAACACAGTTTGAAACACATGACCCAGTAATCTGCTAATCATCCAAACACATGGCAGTAATGTGGTCAGTTTAGTCAGCAAAGTCCAATTTCCATATTCAAAAGAGTTGTGTCCAGATTTAAGTGTCTAATGTAAGTTCCTTTAGAAATCTCACAATAGCAGTTAACATCATTTTTGATCAATACATCCTGCTTTTATTTCACTCAAAACACTGACACAAAGTGATCTTAATGTCAAAATTCCCTTTTTCTGGTGATATTTCAGCAAAGCATTTTGTGTTCCTAAGTTTTTAATACTGTGAAAAACAGTATTAGTCCTATTTTAGGTAATGCAGACAGCTATTTAATGTGTATATGATATCAACAGCTGCCTAGTTATATTGCTGTAAGAAATTCCTGCATTCCATTTTTGGAATTACATAATCCAGTTTTGGATTTACATAATCCATTTTTGGATTAACACAGGTGGCACAGATATAGTAGAAAGATATTTCCTAATTCAAAGACAAAACACATTAAATACAATTAATTAAACATGCATAAACTAATTATTTTCTTCACATGATGATAGTCAGTTTGCTTTTGCTTACAGGATTCTGCCACTGGGATATCTAAATTTATATGGAATAAGCAGATCACAGGGAGTACTGCCACATAGCTTTGTGCTGAGAATTTTGCATAACGCTGTTAATCAGCTCTGTATTAAGTATATTTCAGTCAGTCCTAGCAGCAAGCATCCTACACGTAAAGGAAATTTAAAAAGGAAGCTGTAATATAAAACTGAATCCATCAGAAGCAGACAAGAAAAGGAAAGACTGAATAATCTTTAAAGTATCAGAAAGAACGAAGAAAGAACCAGTGCTTAGAGTTCTAAGAAAACAGAGAGAAAGCAGGAAGGCTGTGTCAGGAAAGATTCATTTTGGCTATATGATATTAAACAGACCATATTTTTAAGCAGTAAATAAGTACATTACCCTCATCTTGCTGAGGTTTCTGTAGTCATAGTAGCTCTCATACTGTTCTGCAATTTTCCTGCATAAGATAATGCCATTTTCCCAACACTGCAAGCAAGTAAAAGATGTTCAGTAATTTCAAAGCAGCTGTTTGACAATTTGTGATTTATTAGTGGTCTGTTCTTTCTATACTAAGTCATACTTCCAGTAACTGAAACTACTTGAACGTATTGTCCATTAGACATACTGATAGCTGCTGAGTAATACTGATGAATTCTTTGAAGGATCGAAAATATATTTAGAGACTTATTTAATAAATGATCTTACAGGACTATCACTGCATAAGATACAAGTCATTGCAAGTGATACACATCTCTCTTGATGGAGATGTGGCTCTGTGGAAGGGGACCTGGGGCTCCTGGTGGACAGGAAGCTCAACATGAGTGAACAGCGTGCTGCTGCAGCCAAGAAGGCCAATAGGATGCTGGGCTGCATCAACAAGGGCATCACCAGCAGAGATAAAGAAGTCATTATCCCTCTCTACTCAGCACTTGTCAGGCCACACCTGGAATACTGTGTACAGTTCTGGTCCCCACTATACAAAAAAGATGTGGACAGGCTGGAGGGAGTCCAGAGAAGGGCCACCAAGATGATCAAGGGTCTGGGAAGCCTGCCGTATGAGGATAGGCTGAGAGAGCTGGGTTTGTTCAGCCTTGAGAAAAGGAGGCTTAGAGGTGATCTCGTCACCATGTACCGGTACTTAAAGGGGAGCTACAAAGAAGATGGAGACTCCCTTTTTTACAAGGAGTCACAGAGTGAGGACAAGGGGTGATGGGTACAAGTTACTCCCAGGGAGATGCCAATTGGACATGAGAGGAAAAATTTTCACAATGAGAATAATCAGTCATTGGAATAATCTCCCCAGGGAAGTGGTTGACTCTGCTACACTGGACACTTTTAAGACTCAGCTGGACAGGGTGCTGGGCCATCTTGTCTAGACTGTGTTCTTGCCTGGAAAGGTTGCACCAGATGATCCTTGAGGTCCCTTCCAACCTGGTATGCTATGATTCTATGATACTACATATGAGATTGAATCAACACAGTATGACTTTCACATTTTAAAATTGTATTCTTAACATATCCTCCTTAATTTTTCTAGATTGGAAAATACGTTATTGCACCATATAATTTAAACTCTAAGCTGATTACAGAATCTTCTGAAAAAAGTGATCAACATCAGTTTGATTACACTTACAAGGCTTACATGGATATTACACTAGCTACACAAATTGCAATTGCTTGTTTATCAGCAGGACAAATCATCACACAAAGGATATATAAAATTTTAGACTACAGGATAATTACTCTCGCTTAATTCAGAATCAGCATTCTCAGTGATGACAATGAACTGTGATCCCCAAAATCCATTCTTTTTAGAGATTCTGCAATTGCTATTCAAGAAGACACAACATGATTTATAAGGTGTAAACATAGTCCTTATAATCCAGACACCTGAGTTTTTTCCTCACTTGGTCACTAAGCGAATTTCATAAGCTTTATATGGCTCATTTTCACCACCTTTAAAATGAGGAGAAATTATACTATCTTTTATAAAGTGCTTTGACAGTTACAAAGCGAATTGCTACAGAAGTGCAAATTATTCTCACATATAAGTGTGGGATTTCTAGGATACAAACACAGGATTAGAAGAAGCCTACTGTGTCGCTAAGTAACTGCTTAATCAGGCAATGACAAACAGTGCCCCTTTATGTGAGAAAAGACTACAACCCTGGAAGTAATGTCCTAAAATGATTAAACTATCCGCTCAGTAAAATAGGACTATTTTACCTTTCCTCTATCGAAGTTTTGAATGATGGTCAGATGGAGACACTCTTTACGTTGCCACTCTGTTTGCATGGGGTAGGTGAGAAATTCTCTCAGTGGCCGATCAGACCACTCCAACAGCTCATCGTACAGCAGGAGCGTGTAGGCAGCCTCTACAAGACAAATTATAGCACAGTACTTATGAACACCAAACAAACAAAACAGCCAAACAAAGTACACAGAAATGTGAATGCTCCTGATGAGATACACCTTTTTAATGGGTAACTGATTTATTTCAAGTATAAGACAGATAGTAATGCTGGTTTTGGACAGAGTTACTGTCTATAGGTATAATAAATTCAGCTTACAATTTTCACACACTGTTTAAAGTGGAGTCACTGGGACAGTTTTCCTGGAGTCTGACAATACAAACGTGACAGAGAAATTAAGAAACAATTTCCTGCTTAGTCCTAGTCTTCCCTACCACTTAGGAGAAACTCTCAATGGCTCTACTGTCTGAGCAAGGGAACAAGGGCTAGAGGTTGAGGAACATCAATAAAGAAAGAGGAAAGAAGGTAGGTAGGACTGTGGACACAGTCCAAAAGAGATCAGGGCTGGGAGGGAAATGGAGAGGCAGATGTGTGCTTAATAGACTCCATTCTTTACATAATAGAAATAAATCCCTCATAGCTGAGCCTTAACACTCTACCATAACAAATAATTTAGAAGTGCGCACCCAAAATATTTTTATTTTTAAAATTTTATTTATTTTTAGGTTTGGAAAGATGAAACCTATTGTTGCTCTCTGGTCAGAGAACTGTGTAGTAATCTTTAGATCATGGTTGGGAGAAATTATCTGGGAATATCAAAATTATTATTATTTTTACTTTGATTTAAAGAATTCTTCAGAAACGGTACACTAAAACTAATATTAAACGAATCTCTCTATTGCAAAGTCAGGCTTTGGCCAATTACAAAACACCAGAATTACTACTGATTATGACAATTCAATTTGGCTAACCACATATGCATTATTGTCTTCCAAGTTATTGTTCTTGGAATTTTTCCACTCACAGGACCACTTTGCATCAGTCAGTACAGACAGGTCACATTCTGGAGACATACTGCATTGCAGGAAGAAGTTGCCTACTGGACTTATTTTATTGCAGGTTTTATATGTTGTACATAAAGGAAAAAATAACTATAAAGTACTAAAGTACTTTTTATGCTAAGGTAAGGTTGCCCAAGACAACCATATCCTACTTCTGCCTCTGCCATATGAGTTCCCATAAGACAGGTGACTTAAACCAAACTGTATGGAGTTTTTTTGTAACAGTAGTGTTCCTCTTAACATGTCCAGCTTAAGAACCCGTGGATGAAAAACCATCACTGCAGCAGATGTTTGTGGGAGAGTATGCTTTGAATCAAAATGTTGCAAAATGCTAAGCATGGTGCAAAATGATGCTGCACTGCAACATATATGTGCAACGGAGACAGCTGAAGTTGTGCAGACAATCTTAATTCTGGCATCACCCAGCTTTTAGGCTGCTTGACTTTGTCATAATTTCAAGCTACAGTTTGGTACTCAAAATATGCAGAACATTTACATACCAATTTAAAAAAAATCCATTAAGTTGATAACAACAAATCATTCAAAACGATAAGGAAGCAAAAGACAGCAGAGCATAAATACATGTCGGGATAGCTCACTATGACCCTTCCTTTCTAACTTGGCATGCAAGTCCTTCGTTTTAACAGATTTTTTTCTGCCATAGCAATATTTTTTAAAGTTACCATAAATGTATATAGAAGGTTTCTAAAATAAGAATGGCCATACTGGACAAAAGGTCTGAAGGGTCCCTCTACCCAGCATCCTATGTCTGGCTGTGGCCAGCATAACAAATAACATATTGGTATGTTTGGGAGAGGTTTGTAACTATTGGCTGTGCACCAAAACAGTAAGGAGAAAAACAGGGTTGGCTCACGATGTGGGAAATTCAATTTATACAGGAAAGATTCAAAAAACGAAACATTTCAAAGACGGATAGATACAATCTCATTACACTTCTCAGGTGACTGAGGGGACACAAGAGGAACCAGTGCATTTATGTGCTTCAGCCTCAAGAGAGTTATATTTATAGCTGTAACTGAGTGCTGGGTAAAGAAAGATTTGAAGCTACGTTTTATATTAAAAGGACTTTTTTTTCTTTACAGACGATTATTAGAAACAGTCCTGTAAATCATACTATGAAAGGAGAGAAAAATTATTTTAAGGGCAAGCTGGCTTCATCCCTAGAATGAAACTATGCAGTTAGTAAACTAATGCTGCAACATACAGGAATGCTGCTGAAGTAGCAAACTTTTTTTCCTGCTCCCGTGTACTTTAGATCAGCTGATTTACAAGAGGTCTGTATGTTGTCACTGATTGATAAGGCAAGGCAATGGACTACGTAAGTCTGTTTTCTAGTGGAAAGACTGTCTCTATCCCAACGCCATGGGTGTGAGACAATCCTTCCTTAAGGCTCTCATGGTGGGGGGGGAATCAGTTGTGGAATCTACCATGGCGAAGAATGCAAAAATCACACATGTTAATAATAAATACACAAGAAATACAACAAAGTCCTGGAGATAAATTTTGAGCAAAATACTGTTTAAAATAAGAATGGATAGCAAAACAATTAAAAAAAATTAGGTTCATATCACTGCTGAAGGTAAACTGGACACATATTAGCAGCCAGTGTGTAAAGGGAACTCAATATTGCTTAAAGAGTTACTAAGATCTGTTATGTAAAATCAGGAAATTAATAGTTTGGCACAAAAGCCAGCTGTGGCAAAGATACTGCTTGATAATCAAAACTCTCTTGTGACTCACTACTGCCAGGTCACATGAGAAAATGGATCGCTCTCCTTAATATATCCTGCTATCTAGTCTACAATTTGAACCCACAAACTGCAAAGGGACTGTGGAAATTCTAAGCAAAGGATCTTTCCTATGGATAGCAGAAAAGCATAAGGAAATTTGCTGTGGCAGTAGGTACCTGTAGCCTGTTTACTAGTGACACCCAGCCAACTAACCTGCTTTTAAGAAGGAAAAAATTCTGGAGAGATTATGAACACATGCAGTTGCAATTGCAAACACCGGGGAAAAGATGCAGGTATTATAAGGTCCGTTAAATATTTTAGCAACCAAAGATTGTTTAATTTAAAGAGATACTGATTTTATCTTCTCCAACAATTATTGATGGCATGTAGTTACCCAAATGAAGTGCACTTTACATTGTATAAACAACCATGCACATTATCTACTTATTTCTTCATTTAAAAGATAACGGCCAGCTCTGGCACTAAATTCGCATTGAGAAATCCTGGACAACAGTACTGCAAACATGGTATGCGAAGACTCAGAAAGACATCAGCAAAACGCTATACTTGTTACAGGTTTTAGGGTGTATGTCTCATTGTTAGTAAGCGATCTGAGTCTTCTTTTCTTTTCTTTTTTTAACCTAAAAGTTAAGTTCTGAAACATAGCTGTGCAGGAATACCACACCAAACAGCTAACCAGCAGCATTACAAAAAAGTACATAGGCTCAGATATTACCAAATAGACTCATAAAAACTTCCTCTAAACTTGACTCCTCTTGGGTGAAGAATGACCGTATCACACATTTATTGCTAGTGTGTATCAATAGCAGTCATTTACATTCAACACGGCACAGCAAGTAGTAGAGTTGTGGGGCTGAAAAAAAGCCATATTTGAGAGAGAGATTAATTGTGCAAGGAAACTCAGCTGTTGCCTAAGTTGGTATGTTCTGCACTGAGGATACGGCTTACAGGTTTACAAAAGACTGCAAATCATGGACCAGTCCTAAATATCTTTTTCTAGTTTGTACTCAATTACCTGTGAAGTTTTGTGCTTTCAGATGTAGGTCATACAGCTTATGAATGTAGCGAATATACATCTCTTCCTTGTTCAGTTCAGTCTTATAAAAATTCTGCAATAAAATTGAATTTTGTAATGAAATGTAGTAGTTAATAAATATATGACAGTGGTTACAAACCAAAGACTTCAAACATAATGCTCTAGAAATACACGCATAGATTTGAAAGTTTCACATGTACAGAGTCATTACACAGAACTGCAGTAATACAGTAGGAAATAGTAAATAGAATAGTAGATTTTCAGTAGACAAGTCAACATGCTCCTGAATGTTTTTTTAATTTAAATTCTCATAGGACATAAGAGGAAGAACCTGATAGAACTGAAATCTGACCGCTCTTTCTTTATAAATACTAATCTATCCAAAAAGTGCACCCACATAGCCTTACTTAGGCCATTTAGCATCTTGCTGAAAGCTGTATTTTGATTTTAAAATATTGACAGTACTCTGACTTTTGTATTCACATTTGAACAAAATACCTACTGCCTGGTACATCTACTCTTCCTTCTGTCGTAGCAAAATGCCAGAAGGACTTTGGTAGCTTTACGAAGAACTATTCAGTGATGTAAACAGCACAATCCTGAGTGAAAAACATGATTTCTTTAGCTCTAACCGATGCTGGGAACTCGTAACTAATGCACAGATATTGCATTGCATGATTGAAATATATAAAGTTGCACTCTAAAGTGATATCCAGGACAAAATTTTTAGAAGTGGCTATAGATTTCTGGATGTATAACTGCTATTTGTTGTTACGTGGGTAAAATACAGAATGCAACATCAAAACTCTTAGTTCAAAACACTCATTATTTATTTGCAAGCCCTAAAAAAACAGTGTATGAAAAAGTTATAGGGAGAGGAGCACAACTCTACAGCACTGTTCACAAGTATTGCCATACTCACTACAGACATGCAGCTAGAGTCCCCGTTAGCCACACTTAACATTCAGGATAATCTGTTTTGGTTAATAAAAAATTTATAGGATAGAAGAATCTAGTACTGGTCCTTATTAGGAATTAACAATTTCTGTTCTATTATTCAAATCACTTACTAATTCGAACTCTAAGCGAGCGGCCAAAATTTTTCCCCTATTGTACAGTATTCTTTTTCCGTGCTACTGTTTCCTAAACTGAGTTATTATCAAACAGAAAGGTGGGAGGAACATTATGAAAATATCAAATAAACACTTTATAGGGAAAATATTTTTAACTGACTTGAGAAAATGACTACATATCAATAGCTCTGTAATGACATGCCCCCTTTAGGCCACCATCTGCCTTTATAATCCAAAGACTTCTCTTTTCCTCCCACAAGGTATAGATCAGGAACAGATGCTTCTCTTCAGAAGAGAAAATGAAAAAATATCTGCTTGTATGTTCATATTTACCTGTCTGAAAAAAGCATAATCTACAATACAGAATTGTGAGTAATAAAGCATAAAGATTAAGACAGAATACAGCACTGAACTGCAGTACTAGACTTCTTGGCTCTTACCCCTAAGCACTAAAGGCTCTAGTACTTGTCACAAATCTGAATTATACAAATCAACTGGTTCTTCTCTGAAGCTCAGCTCTGACAAGGTCCAGTTGGTCTGTAAGGCAGACCACAGCAAGACAACCCAGTCACAGCTCAGCAAATACATCCTGCTAATAAAGGTGTTGTGTGATTTTTCAACAAACTATTTCAAGATATAAAATGTAACAGATGTAATCTTTAAAAGGGACATGATATAAAAAGTAGACTTCTCTAATTAATAAAGATTTTTTTTCCTAAGAAAAAACAGCTTGAAAACAACATTCAAACAGGCAATGTGGACATGTTCTACTTAAATGGCATGATGTCATATGCCAGCATAGAGCATCACAGTAAAATGTCCCCATTGTAAAAAGAAGATATAATTTTAAATTAATAGAACCTGAAATAACAATTAAATATCAAACCCCAATGAGGACCAGAGATGCCTGAGAAACTCCTCAGTGAGTTACCAGAAGTTACTCAGTATACTTTCAATGCTTTTGTACAACTCTGATGACAGAGTTCCTTCATTAGAAATTCAACTCTCAAATCGGAGTTAGGTGATTCATATGCATAAGGAACTAACTCCATTAAACACCTCTTAAACCAGCTTTTCCAAACAAGCATTTACTAATTACCCCAGATGATCCAGAGGGTGGGAGAGTAGGAAAAAAGTTCCTTCTCCTTTCATCTACGTTATTGCTGCTGGTGCATACCCCTTCTGCATATTTCATGACGTGGCATAATTCCAGTAAATTTGATAACTTGGTTAACTTGGACAATTCTATTTTCTGGAAGAATAGCATATACTTCTATGACAAAACAACATAAAAATTCTCTTTTCATGCCAACCAGTCCTCTTATCTTTGGAAGTCAGAATACCTTCAAAGTACTGGTGAAAAATGAAATATTGCTTCCTCCTCTGGACTTCAAATAATTTTAACATTATACAGTCCTCTAATTACTCATTGCATGAAAAATCTTTTGAGATGACAACCAGTTCATCCATCATATGGGCAAGCAAGTATCTTAAAATTTGTGTTCTACTTCTGTAATTGAAATTTCCTTTTCAAAATTTAGCATTCGTTGTTTCTCTGGTGTGCAAATAGTATTAAAACTTGTCTGAAAAGTATTAGGATATGAAATCTGCCTTAGCCTGTGCAAGTCATTGAAAATCCCATTAAAAAGTATTATGGTGTTTTGGGGTTTTTAAATATTTAAATTTTCTTTTTGTGCAAATCTTGGATGATTTGCTAGTAATAGTTTAAAAACTCCATAGTGATAGGATGAAAATAATCCAGGTGCTTTACAGTATTCAGATCATGCCAAATATTCTGACAGAAAGCCAGCTGCTCTATGGCTATGTAGTAAACCATCCCTATTTAGAGAGCACTATTTTCCTACTGAAGAAATCCTTTATTCTCTTATGTATAACTGCTGCTTAGAAGTGATACCAAATTGTTTCACTGACGTCAAAAATGCAGAATTACAAGTCAGCTTATTCTGTTTTTTTCCCTGGCTAAAAATATAGCTTTCCAAAACATTCACCATGAAAATGGAAACTTTCCAAGGTTAATGGAAGTCAACAAACTTGTCAGTGGAAACTGGCCTAGAACCAAAATGCATCTTGTAAACAAAAATGAAATCTTTTTCGTAGTACAAATTTGCACTGTTGATTTGTTGACCAGAGGAGGTCTTGAGCAGCATTTCTGGCTATTCTATAGGGAAGTGAAGAGATAGCCTGCAGTCTTCAGAAGATATCCCATATTGTATGTCATAAGAACCAACTTGCTTCAGTTATTGGGGAAGAAAGGAAACAGGAGAAATCATGTAAGTTTTGTTGGGTTTCGGGAAGGAGGAAAGGCTTGTTTGTTTCTATGAAGTCAGAGACCAATTAAACTTGGAAAACGCTTTGGTGAAGTTTGTCCAGTGGGAAGAGACTGAAAACTGAATAAAGCAGTCTTAGAGATCTCTCAGAGCCCAAATATAAAATACCAAGGAAGACTAACTCCCCTGTATCAATCTCACTCTGAAAAAAATCAGTGATCTGAAGTGCAGTATTATTCCACTCAAACTGCATCAAGAAGCAAGGTACCTCCTATTCAAATGTGTGGCTGTATACTAGAAAATGCTCAACTGAAATCAAAAAGGGAAAGAAAAAATATTATACAAACCAAAAGGCTAACAGTGCAGCCAATCTTTTTGCCATCCACTTCTCCCATTTTCATGCAGTCCCTAAAACAGAAAGTAGTGAAAGTCAAAAGGAATGACATTTATCCTCTTACAGTGAAGCACACCTCAGAAAACAGACATATTTGGCTTGGCAAGCTGACTGAAATGATGCAACCCAAAAGCATTTGGGTGAACAGCTGACCCAGGTGTGTAAGGGATTTCATGCCTCCTTTTCTAGGACATGGAATACCTCAATTGTCAAGAAAGTCCGTGTTTTTTTCTGGCTTTGTCATTGATTTGCTAGGTGACTGCTGGACATCATTTGGTTTCTTCATACCTCGTACTCAAATCATGCCAGCAGAAGCTAGCATGGCTGCCAAAAGAGGCAGTCCCACTCTCCTCCTGCTCTCAGGCACTCATTCCCAGTCCTGCACTGCTGCCTGCACAAACCTCAGGAAGAGATACAGGTTAGGCAGCATCTTTTGCTGGGTTAGTTTTAGCCCACATCAGTCAGATCACCAAAGTGCAGCAAACACGCTTGTGTTGGCACAAGGAAGAGGGTGATGTGAACGAGGGAATGAGCAGGGATGAGTCTGCTTTCTTCAGAGACAGTGTACATCTAAATTGGTCATGGAATTACAGCATTAGCTCCTTCTCTGTGAAAAAGCAGAATGACACTGACCTCCTCTGCAAAATGCTCCAAGATCCACCAGATCTTCCTCAGTACCACTTTATAATTAGTATCATTTATTGTTTGAGGAGGCAACAGATCTGACCCCCCAAGTCAAAAGTTAAAAAGGAACCATACAGAGTTTGATTATCACAAAGGGAAAAATAGTGTCAGCATAACCATACTGGAGTAAAAAAAAAACAAACCAAAAACAACAGGCAGAGATCACCATGCAGTCACTAAAAGAAATTCAATGTAATTTTAAAACATTCTTGCATACATGGCTAAACAATCGTCCCAAATACTCTCATAACCACCAGTATGCGCAACTGTTTTGAAAGATGTTGGATTGAGACCCCTGGAGGTTGTAAACCAACCGATCCCTGAAGAAGAATAGCACTGCCAGGCTTCTAGAAATTAAGGGTTCAGTCTCTTTGTTGACAAAATAGCTTTCCTTTCAAACTATCAGTGGGGATAGCAAGTGGAGTAGCAAGTCTTACCATGTGTCCCCCATGGAATCAAGGGAAAAAACTAACACTTAAGCTCTACAAAGTGCTATAACTGATGGCAATAAGGAGGACTAAGCTGAAATCTGAAGTTTCTACACAGACTTCACAAGTGATGAGAAAATCCCTCTTAGTCTCCCACTCCTGAAAGGGAATGTATATCTCTTATTTCCCTCTCCTTTGTTCATGTGGTACAGTCAGATGCGAGCTTCTCACCCAGAGATCATATCTTTGTATACATACTTACTGTGCTGGCTGACACTACAATTACGCATGATTGACATAGTGATAAGAATTTTACATATTCTGTAAAACAACTGTCAGGTGATTAGTATTGAGCTTTGTGTCTTCAGACAGACTTGAGTCACTAACCTACTACCAAAAGTTCCTGTATTCCTTGGTAGGAAACTCATGCAAGCCACTGAATCTTCATACCATGGGGAGGCTACTTGGTTGGTTTTCAGCCAGCTTGTCTCATTTTCCTGTTGACTAAGCAGCTGCTGTCAGAGGTCCTGAGCACGGACAGTTGATGTGTCCATGTGCAGTTGCCATTTGCACAAGATCACCATGTTTGCCTCCTAATATGTTGAAGATGACAACCTTACTTATAAATTGTGATAATCACTCACCTGTAGTCCAGTAACCTCTCCATGAGGCGAGTCACAGTGGCGATTAGCGAAACGCCACTTTCCCTCCATGTTTCCCGCTCAATTTTCTTCAGTAGACTGAAAAAAAAGCCAGAACAATTTCACCGTTTATTTTTAACGGTCACTATGACAACCACTCTGCTTTTACCAGTACCTTAATACCTTAGCAACATCTTTGATAGCTAGGTTTTCTTTTACAAACACCCTCCCAAGAAGCACAATTTTCAAACAATGTCTTACCTAGGATAAGGACCAAAAAGTGGAATTCTAGTCCAGGAAGCATTGACAAAACAAATGATTTTTATATTAGCTGCATCAGGTTAAAATATATCAAATACCTATTTTTCAGAATATATTAATATCTCAAAGATTTAACAGAACTCTTACATAAAATTCATATGTTCATTTCATGCTGATACATCAGAAAATGGGGATTCTAAAGATGTACCTAGGAAAGACTATTTATCAACTCAATATACCTTCTCAATTGGGCCTCAACTTTTTTAACAAAGACTTTTCCTCCTCTCTAGTATTTCAGTACACATGAAATTTAAGAATGGGTAAGGGATTTTAATAAGACGATTCTCCTTCTTCACTTAATATTTCCTTCTGACAACAGACTATCATACACATGTAAAATTCCATTAGCTTAAATTGTCATAAGATTCTTTATTAAAAACTGTTGTGTTGAGTTCTTACACTAATGTAAATGCAGATTACACATTGAAGTGAAAAGATTTCAAAATGGTGTTGTAAGTGGAGCTGTCAGTAAAATTATACTTAATATTTCTTTCTGTTATAGGCCTCTGATTTTCACTGCTTAGGTTTATCAAATATTAATCATTTAGGCATGAATTTCCAACATTTCCTCTCTGAGGATGAACAAGGAAATATTTATCTACAGGGCTGTGTTACTTTTATGCTTTGGTGCAGGACCTCAGAGGGATACCATGTCCATGGAGATATTTTAGCAGTCTCCCTGAAAATGCACTCAGGTATGGTTTACTTAGAAGTCTCTGAAAATCACCACATCCGTATACTCAGAGCTTTTTACAGAGTTGTTAATAGCATCTCCGAACCTTCTGTCTGCAGTGGGCAAGCTGTCAGCTCCACTGACCTTCATCTATACTGAGCATGTTCAGTCCCATAAAACTCCTACGTCCAAATTTCACCAAAAATATAACAGCGCCCAATAACTCCTACATGCCAACTGCATAAGCTATACACTCCAGCTCTGTTCAGCTCCTTACATAGAGGGGGATGTCACAGATGCAATTCTCCAAACTAATTTGGCCTAAATGAAGCTGTGCTCTGCTGGAAGCAAGGAGGAAACATTGGTCTTCATTCTGTACCCTTATATCGATCTTAGACTCCTTCTCGTTAGGAGGCAATCAGATGTCTTTCCCTCACATTCAGAGACTGGCTACCTGTCATTGCTATAGCAGAGATAGATGACAAGGCCATCCTTAACCAGAAGATGCTGAAGCACTAATCTGGCATCTCTGCTTTCCACATAGAATACACAGGCTAACTTAATTCACTTTTAAACCCCTTATGTTCCTTTCAATAAAAGTTTTTCTGTCTAACAAGAAATAAGAGTAGAGCCTGTTACATTATTACGCACTCATTACTACACTGATTTTTCCTTTCTATTGCCTTTCAACTCTGTGTTAAACAGGAACATTTCAACCTAAATTCATCAAAATAATTACCTACAGTTCCTGTAGAAAAAACAGCAGAAGTCTGACTTCGCTTTTAAAACAGATGGTTTTCATCTGTATTTGACTTATGCATGTTCTTTATAAATGTATTGGCATATTCATTATAAATATACTATTTCCACGAACGGGTTGTGTAGATACATTCAACGTACTTATTCAAACTGACATCAATGTCATCAGTTGAACAGTTTTATGACTTGCCTTCTGATGCAGGCCTACTCCTCTCCATCATACATCTTTTACCACAATGCACAGAACAAACACCCAGAATGAAAGAGCTACTCAAACATATCCCTTGGCTTCCTCATGGCTGTATCTAGATAGAATTAAATTCCCGGTACTTACAGGTCCCAAAGCACAGCCAAGGTGCTATGTTCTATAAAGCACTAAGGGGGATAAACAACCCAGAAAATGCAAACACTTCTGCCTTATCCGTGCTACTATAGCCTAACATCTGGGCTCACCTGAACAGTTGTGGGTTTTGGTGCTTTTTCTTTTTTTTGGTTTGGTTTGGGTTTGTTTGTTTGTTTGTTCCCAAGAATAAGAGAGTGGAGTGGGGACCCAGAGGATCAGAGCTCTCCAGGAATGAGCACCAGGCTTAGAACAATGTTCAGGCTAGCTCAGTCATGTAGTAAGTGGACTTTATATGCTGAAGCCACAGAGTTACTCAGACCACAAACTCTCAGGCATCTAATCCTAAAGGTGCCTTAAAACATCTGGATGTCTCTTTTGGAGTACAAGTCCTCCAGGTACCTCCCTATATAGCCACAGGTTCCCTCATCTAGTCAGATGGGTCAAAGTCAAACTTTTCTGCAAAAGTTCAGAGATCAGTGAGGAGCTACCCAAACCCCACAAAAATATTCAGAAGGGCTCTGAAAGACTCAGTCCAGACAAGAGTCTAATGGACCGGGCAGTACTGAATTCCGTCGTGCAATTGGCAGAAGAAATTAAAACTGAAGACGGCATGGGAGAGGTAGCAGTCATCACTTCTTATATAATAGCTTCATGGCTAGAGAAATCACCCACAAACTGGCAGAGCTTGGTATTAAATGCCTGCTCAGCTTGAATGTCAGCTCCAATTTCTTCAAAGAGAAGCCTCGTCGTCAGGCCCCCAGTGGAGTTCACTAGCCCAGGTTTTGTGCTTTGATAATGTGGCCACCTAACCTCCAAACCTGAAATGGCTTGTGTTAGGCCAAACTGGAATACAGCTGCAGAAGTAATAAACTGGCAGCATCCACTGGATTCAGAACAAAAGAGCTACTTGAGTATATCCCTTGGCTTCCAAGGATTTTGTTCTAACCAACAACTGTTTAATAAAGTGAAATCATTCTTCTCTCTGTGCTAATTAACTCAGGAATTCAATTGCAGTGTTACAGTATAAATGTAGATCAGGACACCTTTCATACCACGATTACACTGGGTACCAATTACAATATCTAGTTTCTCATGATAGCAAAATGTTCTCTATTCCATGCTTTGCAGCTCTTCACATGACATCAAGAGCTAATCACTGAGCGGTTACATTCAAATCTCTAGAAAGACATTGATTCAAACCAAACAGCAGTAATCTTCCCCCTACTTTCACTATTTTCATTTGATAAAGCTAATGCCATTATAAGCAGTGAATTCTAAGCACGTAATATTTTAGATATGTCTGGAGAGGCTTATAATTTGTCCTTTAATACAGAAGATGTTCAAGAAAGATGAAGTGCTTGTCTTTGGAAAAAGAACAGTTAACGTGGAAGTTGAGAGATTGAAATTCATTTTCCAATTCAGACAAAATAAACAAAAAGCATGACAAAACCTGAACATGTCACACCCACTGCAGTTACTAGACTGTATCCAAAGTAGGCATGTGCATCCCCTTGGCTCCCAACTATACCTATCAAAACCAACCATGCCGAATCTTCAAAAAGATGAGGTATATTGCAGCATTTGCTTTCATTAAAGACTACAAAACCACTGCTTGCTGCAAAACTATGTTACTGTTTCACAGTCCTTGGGTACATAACACATCTGTCACTTCAGCCTAAACAAGTCTGCTTTCTTGCACTGTCTAAAGACACTAATATTGCTTAGTTTAAATTACTCATGGAAGAAATGGAAAAAAAACCCTCAGGCTAATTGGTCCCGTCCCTTGCATTCAGCTCCCTAAACTGTCCATCTGATTTTAATCATTTTCCTTCACATACCCTAGAACACTGTCATCCTCCATTTTAGATTAGTATCTTCTGCAAGCTCTCCTCTTGAGAGGTGTTAATTTATGAGTCAAATTAAACTCAGATAAAAAACTAATGATAAATACTATTTTTTCTTAAGCTGGAAGTGAACTTGAGCAGTTACTCTGAAATTTCCCAAAGAGTTTAGTTTTAACTTCTGTTATACCAGAACAGAAACAACAAGTACACTGATGCTGTGAGACATTTTGCAATTTAAATTACTATGACTACGTCTTCAGCATTTAGATTTATAAAAGGCTCTCACCATTTTTCATTGTATCTTAACATCCCCCAGTTTAAATCTAACTCAAAACAGTAAAAAAAAAAAATTAAGAACTGCATTTCATACCAATATGCTTTCTTATAGAGCTTTAAGTTATTTCAGTGACAGACATCCTGATGTATTTTGCACATGAGAATGCATTTAGGCTTCATTTTATAATTAGAGCTTTTCCCTTAATGACTTCATTTTGAAATTAGAATACTGTGTTACTAAAATATTGAAACCATCTTACCTTTTATTATCTTTACTCAGATTATGAAAAATGTCATGACTAATTACAAGAAAGTTCTGCTTTAGCATGCTATACTGTTGTTTACCATTATTCATCCATTTCCGTAATATTCTGCCTAATCTCTCTACCCACTTTTGCTTCTGTAAATCATAGAATCATACATGTTTAGGAACTCTTATTTTGTTCAACTCAGTACAATTACAGATTATTACATGTTTGCTATTCACAGACACCAAGATCTGAATGTTGTTATTTAAGCAAAGACAACAGAGCCAGAACTAATACTTAAAGAAGAAGAAATGGTTAAGAAGCCATATAAACAGACAAAGATCAAAGTACTGAAGAACACACAGCTTGGAATCCTGAGGAGGAACAATACATCTACTAAACACACCAGAAATAAGTGAAACCTTCCACTTAGGTGGAATTGAGTTCTGAGGAACAACAGAGAGAGAGTTCAGCTAGTTATTTTGTACCTGTGCTCTGTGACAATCATTTATTTCAGTCAATGGGAAAACTTATGGGTAACCTTAGGGACTTCAGCATTATTATTAGCTTTTCCTATTAGATTTCAGTGATATGTCATTTATTAAAATATACTAAAAGCTTAACAAGTAATTTATAAAAGAAAATAATAAGAAATAAGATTAGCAGAATAAATAAAATCATATACATCAAGAAATCAACAAGTGACATTACACAGATGAGTACAAGTTTCTGGCAACAGAAAATCACTTGTTAAACAGCTTTTTGTTGAATTCTCATGCCTTGTTTTCAAAATGCTCCATTTGAGCTCTACCTGCACCCTATACAATTATAAAGCATTTCTTGCTTTTCTGATTTTAAAACTAGCAGGTAGAGAAAGAGAATGTTCTGTGATATAACAGATTTAGCCTTTCCCAATTATAGCTGTATGCAAGGAGTACAGCCAGACTTTACAGATGCCATACAACACCATAAAATGTTTTATTCCTCAGATTTTCAGGAGGAGGAGAAAAAAAAAAAAAAAAAAAAAAAATTCCCAATTTTTTTAAGGGTTATTTCCTTAAAAATATTATAAACATTATGAGGAGAAGAAAAAAAAAAAAAAAAAGAAATTCCCAACTGTTTTAAGCGTTACTTCTCTACAATGACATTAGCATCTGATACAACCAACTGAACTCAAGGAATTAGTGTAAGATAAACATATTACTCACATACTGTTGAAGAGCTCTCGGTATGTTTCATCACCTTTACCTTCCGACATTAGGCTGTCCAGTTTGTCAATCAGTTTTGCTTCCACCTGCAACATATAAGTGTGGTGTAAACAGCTTCTTTTTCCTTTAATGAGATTAGAGAAAATTGAGGGAAGATTTGTTTTTATGTAAGGGACTTTGCTAAATGCATATCTTAGAATTACTGGTCAATCATGTAAATCTGATAAGTCACTTCATCTCTTTGAAGCTGTTATCATTCCCAGGGTTTGTGGGGTTTTCTTTTTTTTGGTGTGGGTTTTTTTTTTTTTTTTGAGGGAGGGAGCTAATTTAAATTGAGCAACGTGACTTTAAAACTACAGGCTGAGTAGCATTTGCTGCTGCTAAGGCAGCTATCTATTTATGGAGTCAGACAAAAAGCACACAGCCCAAATAAATTGCCTGAATTCTCACTGCAGGGCTGTAATCACAAGCCATTTTCTTAGACATCAATAAAAATATCATCTTTTCTGACCTGCACCCCACTCTTTATAAATTAATTTTCATAAATATCTGTATAGTTCAGAACACTTGGGCGCTCAGATTTACTTTCCCAACCTTCCTTACCTGTCAGTGTACTTGGTTAGAAATCCAATTTGTTGGATTTACGTATTAGCTATCAAAGAAACTTAATGCATATTTCTAAGTGTATTGATTATAAAAAAAATATAGAGGTGAGGCTACACTATGTGTTAATATTTCAGACCTCCTTTTCAGCAGTAATATATTAGCAACCACAAGTCTGGGGGAGAAACCAAGCTGTTGTCAAGATATTTTATTAGAGAATAAATCTACTACAATTTACATTTAAACCCAAGCTGAGAACACAGAGAAGCAGAACAAGCGGATTTTTTTCCTTCTCACTCCTCATTAACATTTCTATGGTGATTTTTAACAATAAGCTTATATATTGATAGTGAAAAGCTACCTACTTACATCACATGCACTCCTCCGTTCTTAATAGTTTGTTTTGTGTTTCAGATACAGCTCCCACCCTAAGCATTATGATTGCCTGGGAGTAATTCAAATACTTCTGCTTTCCTTCATTTGAAGCAGCAGGAAGGAGGGCACTGAGAAATGGTTTGAGGCAGTCTGAAAGAACTGAGTGGGAGCTGCGGGAGCAGATGGCACACTTGGTCGTTCCTTCCTAGCCTGTTAAGGTGGTGTTTGAGCAGCAAGAATACTTGGATCCTTACAGAAGAACATTCCTCAGAAGGACCATCTGATCTTTTTTCTTACTAACTGGGAAGGAAACTAGTTGAATCCTATCTAACCAGTAGACTGTACTGCTGTAAAGCAGAGATGAAAAATCACCACAACAAAATCCGCCTTGTTGAAGACAACTCAAGTTTTGTTCTTCACTTCAGCAGGCCATGGATTTTATCCCTCATCTTACATTACTAACATGATACCATTAATTGCAGAATCTTACTACCCCTGCAGAGAGTAAAAAGGAAAAACCCTGGTAATCCATCTCCAACAGGTATAATGCTGTGGCTACCTTCTCCACCCTGAACCACTAATGGTTGGGACCAGCACTGTCTGAAGTGCTTGAATTTCAGTCCTGTTTTATGAACAGCTTCACATACAGTACCTGTTTAAAGTTGCCACTTCGCCTTTGCTCCCAGTCCATCATGTCATGGAAAATGGGAATCATGACATTCCTCAGGTCTGGCTGAGGGATCAAGGTCACTTCCAGGAAGGGGCCAATCAATGCTGGAATAAAGTGAAGCTTGTGTTCCCCTAAAATGAAGATGAACATGAACTTGAATGTGAATTGGGTGTCCTGTAAGCTGCCAAGCAATCCAAGTATCTCAAAAATTAAAAAATAGCACTCTAAATGCCTACAGTTTTTTTATCTCATGTCCATCACAGCAGGGGCTATTTCTTAAGCCCAAAAAGTACAGAGTAAAGCTGTAGACAATAGAAGAATATAAGGCCAACAGTTTATCAGATTTTATTATGCAATACTGAGTTCAGAAGTGACAGTGGGCAATCTCTATCGCAAGTTAGTCTTAAAGAAGGAGAACGAAGAGAGACAAAGCCCTCTCTGAGCATTTCATTTATTTTTCACGGGAATGGTTTGGTTTCCAAGCTCTACATTCTTGCGTTTACAAAATGGTTAACAGTCTGATATTACACATTCATCAAAAAGAGGTAAGTACTTTGATTTTCACCTATCTTTAGTTTTGTGAGTACAGAAATGGAAGTACATGTTTTGACTGCAGGAACGGGAAGATGTGACTCAGCTGTTCTCAAAACAACTCACTTTAAAATCAGTACTAAAACAATTTCCATTAACTCTCCATATTCTACTTAGCAGAAACTACAAAACTAAGTTCTTGTCAGGAAAGCTAGAAATGGCATACAGTAAGGATTGACCATTTAGTTCCAGTTCTCCAGGCGTAAGACTTCCGATATTTTCAGAATAGGAGGATTATGAATCACGATGCACTGACTTTCCAGCTGGGAATTCATTTCCATCCCAGCCCACCTCTGGGTATTCCCGTGGACAGTAACCCCTGCCTGCTGCTCTGTTTGGTGTTTGTGTTTAGGAAATCCAGAATTCCCTCTGCTGGAAACATCCTGGGATGCATATCCATATGAAAGCAAGGTGACTGTACAAGGATGGAGGCTTATGATGACTCTTACTGCTAAGAGAACTGTAAAATGCTGACTAGCGTAACACCAATTATATGAAATATTCTGACTACAGTATTTAATTGGACACATGACCAGATGAACTCCATATTGTACCCGACAGAACTCGCCCCTATTGAAAGGTATCATGATTCTCTCCTTGCCTGCATACTGGGTTTCCATTCAGCAGAAAACAATGTGAAGGGGGAGATGATACACACTAAGCTCTTATCCTAGCATGCAGGAAGGAGATGGGACCCAGGAGTGGATCCTTGATATACCAGTTTAGAAATACCCATCATGTATCCAAATAATTTAGAGGGATGCCTTAGAGTGAGTAAGCAATACTAAATACTGTAAATAAGTAAAATATGCTACACAACAAATGTTAACAAGATATTAATAAGCAAATGTTTCTTATTTTTAACATGTCTCTTTCTAGTACAGGCTGATCAGAAAGACCAGTTTTTTGCAATTACATATCTGGCTGGGCAAGAGATGTATAGAATTGAGATGACAGTATCTCAGTAACCACCGATGATCTTCATATCTTTAATGAGCCCTTTAATGAACTGAACTATTGAATAATTGAAATATTAAGATGACAAATGTAGTGTCCAAATCTTCTACTCAGTTTTGATTTTTTTTCCCAAGCATCAGTTTAATTGCATTTCTGTGAGGCTCATACTTTCAAACAGTTTGCACAGTTATTGCTTATAAATACCAAAATGTTCCTAAGTTTATATCCACACATATATTCTTCTTGTGTTGTCCAATGTGTCATTTATACATCAGTCACTGATTTGTTTATGCCTTTATATTTTAGTGCAACTAGGATTTAGGGGAAGATTTGATGCAAATCCAGCATCTCAAGAGAGCTTCAGAATTAAGATGTATGTCTGTTCCTTAAACTGTTTGGCAACAGAACTAAAATTGTGAACATAAGTATATTTCCAGGCATAATAATTCTGCTCAAAAAGAGCAGTACTTTCTTTTCTAATTTTCTCTGATGGTATTCTTTCAGTTCTCTTTGAAGGAACAGGGATAGGTCAGATACAGTATCAAGGCTTAGAAAGTTGAATTTAGCTATTAAGAAGGGAACTACATATGACTAGGGTTCTCCTAAACTTGAATCAAGACTTCATGTGAACTTAATTATCAACAACTCCTCTATCACTGGCAAGTGTATTTAATAGGTGAAGAAATAATAATTGTTTTTCATTTTACAAGCTAGTGATGATGTGTTTAATTACCTACCTAAATTTTGCCACATGCTGAAGATTTCACATCCCATTGTTACCCGCATGTCACCATATCTGCAATGTATTAAAATATAAAGCAAAACAGTGAAAGGTCATTTAAGAAAATCAAGTTCATATGCCATTTTGTGACATAGTTAAATGAAATGTCTCATCTGTAGTCCATAAAAAACTACTTTAAAAGTGATGATTTCTTCCAAGTTTTTTCTCTTTTCATTGTACCCAGCTAAAAGATTCCTAAACCCAGGTTTATTTGCAATATTGTCAAAAGTATACTGATACTGATTCTTTATAAATGCTATACATCAGTAACACAGCTGTGAAGCAAAAGCTATTTTTTGCAGTAATATGCTGTAGTTCTCTCTGAAAACAAATAGTTTTGCTCTAGCTTAGAGAAATACAATTAATTCATACAGACAACAGTGCAGTGCCTGGCAGAAACACCTGAACAAGTGCGAAACAATTTATGCATGAACTAGAAGTTAGTGTTGGCACTGCTACAACATGGCTATTTTTCTCCCAATATCTGAACCAATTTGGGCACTTCTGCGAAGGCTGCTATCAGCTCTGAAGGCCTATACAAAGGGCCAGAGCCAACTCTCATTCTAGTCAGTGGAAATACTGTTACAGTTACCTTTTTGGGAGGCCTTTTTGCAACCTCCCTTGCCTCGCATCTTAAAAAGCGTTTGATCTATTACAGTTTTCTAGAAGCTGACAGCAGTACTTACTTTTCTAAAACCTTTTTCTTCTTGGAAGGTGTGAACATCTCCAGTTGCAGACATAACTGGTTTATAAAAATGACAGCAAGAAAAAAGTAGGAATCCCATATCTACAATAAGCATATGGCACTTGGTTATTTCATTTTCTCAGTACCACCACTTTATGACCACTCAAGATGCAAATTTTCAAATCACGTCACTTGTTTCAGTCTCAACTAATAAATTAAACTGTTTTTGACTAAATTTCTTTGCATCCAAGTATACTTTTCAGCAACCTCAAAATGTTCAGCAGAAATACATCTGTTTTACATATTCTACATCTCTTAAATGTAAAGGTTTCAGAGTTGCAGATAGTTTTTTTTTTTTTATCCCTCCAAACCAGAAAACCTTACCCTTTTAAATTTGGAAACATTTTTTGGTATATTTAAATAGAAGACTAGAAAAAGTAATGTTCAGCAGAAATACATCTGTTTTACATATTCTACATCTCTTAAATGTAAAGGTTTCAGAGTTGCAGATAGTTTTTTTTTTTTTATCCCTCCAAACCAGAAAACCTTACCTTCTAAATTTGGAAACATTTTTTGGTATATTTAAATAGAAGACTAGAAAAAGTTATGCCTTTAAGTCCAAAAACAAAAAAAAATCTGACATCTCAAAAGCTATCACATAACAGAATTGTCATTCTCTGGCCCATCCTACTTTATAATATTATTTGCAAGTCTCACTTGCTGCAGGCTTCACTGGACAAAACCGAAGCCAGGTTTTGTTAACATATTGCAAATATACAGATGTTTTGTGCACATGCTTTATGAATCAGATGTTGAATCTTCTACTTAGAAGATGTAAAGATAAATTTAAAGATAAAGCTAAAATACATTAAAATATTAATTATTATAATCCAATTATTGATGTTCCATGGCAGGAAGAAGAAAGAAGTGTAGGGGGAGCCCTATTCCAGACACTGCAGTTCTGCAGAAGAGTAATAACATTGCTAAGCAAGTTTAAGGAACATAGATGCCTTGTCTACAGGCAATTCTTTTATCAGCTTTAGCCTCTGAACTTGTGGAACTTCATTAAGGATAGGCTTCCTCATGTCCAGTTATGTGAAGTAGATAAATCTGCATTCCCACCAATCTCTCCAACAGGAGCCTGGATTTTCAGAGAAGCACCCACAACTCTGCTGGAAGTCAACAGGAGCTCGCTGTCTTCTCTAGAAAGGAAATCCTGCACTTTTAATGATGAAGCAATTAGACTAATGTCTCTGGGTTGGGCAGAATATTCGTTCAGGTTTCCATGGGAATGGGCCTTTTCAGATGCATTCCTAGGTGTTCTCACGTGGATTCTGAAAGCATCATTCCGTAATTCACAGTTTATCATAGGTGCCATATCTCACTGTATGAGGTGCTCATTAACATCTTTAACTACATTCACCATGCAGTGTCATAATTTTCTAATTTTAATTATGCAGCATATTAATTGGTCTTGAGAGAAATTACAGAAATGCAAACCCATTTTTGATAAATTTGCATCAATTCAAAAATGGAATAATTTTCCTTTCTGCAATAACTTCGAAATGACAAATGATAAAATTAGTTTCTATAATCACAAAAATTGCTATGCAAAAATCCTGAATAGTCTAACATAGATGATGAAATAACAAAATGAAAAATAAGAAGAAATTAATACCCACAGCATTCCTGATTTTTGAGATAGTCCTCTATTTAAGAAAAAAATCTCTGAGCACTTGAAATTGCTGATTTAGTATATGTTTTAGCTGTTTAGATGCTGGAGCTAAGTTTAATAACAAACAACCAAGCCACAGGATGATGTAGCAGCTATTGCATCTATCTTATGCTAGACACATTTACTCTACCTTGTAATCAAAGTTTTCATTTAAGAAGTTTTTACGAAGGGCATCCGAAAGGTACAAGACTGTAGTAATGATCACACTGGGAAGAAAAGAATGAAAAAGACAGTAGTTTTCATTAAGTGGAAATTCATATTTAATACTCAGAGCCAGACAATTTTCTAATGAAGAAATAGATGTAGCATGTATGGTGGCATTCAATATTACATTTTAAACATATACAAATATCTGACTACTAACAGCACCTATTGACAGAAAATAAAATATGCACGTTAAGAAAAAAATAATAAAAATAGGTATGATGTAAGAATGTGTGCTGAAAACAGATGTTCTGCATAGAAGAATATAATTGATCAAAAAGACAAACCATAAATTTTGTTCCGCAAATAATGCCGATACCAGATCTAACACACATTTTGTCCTACTAGCACTAATGCCTACAGTTGGGCAATTTGCTTTCAGCTTTCTTGGTACTGAAAATATGCGCGTATAGATTATAAATATAAAATACCTAGTAATTACCAATATATAATATTACAGCCCTATAGACAAAGAGTCTTTGTAATGACAACAGATAAAAGCAAAACTGCATGACCTCTGCGAGAAAGATCTGCATCTAAAGATCCTTATTTCATATGTTGCAAACGGTCATACATTGCCCTGCCTGAATTACATTAACCTATCTTAGATAAATATATATGACCAAAATCCTTACACAGTGGTTGTCACCAGGAGTCAATAACAGCCTTGCACATTGTAGCAACCAAGTTCGGTAATCCACAGAAACAGAACATCCTTAAAGATTATTTAAATATAATTCATTTCAATGATTCAACCCTTAAGCTAACCTCTGTAGCACTTGTGTCTATCAACATATTTAGTCAAGCCAAAAATCCTTAAAAACCATTAAATTATTTCTGAAAGTAGTCAGTAGTGGGTGCTTATGGGGGAGGAAAAAAGATAAACATAGAATGATCTTTTCACTGTTACACTCATGTATTTTACAACAGTCAACTGTTTAAAGACCTTTTGAGAAAAAGGTTACATCTACACATTTCATTTAATTGCCATCTACCTACTGTTAATATATCTAGTACTTCTTTGAACATGGTTCTTGACCTGTATGCTGTTACAATGCTAAAATTTGTTTCCCTTTCCATGCTTTGGACTTCATTTTCTACTATTTTTGCAATGCATTCAAGACAAAATACATTTTATTAAATATAACAACAGCAATATATATATTTTAAGGGTATAATATTTTTCATCTTCACAACACTGAAGAATTACACATTAACGAACCCACCTAGGAGACAAATTTTTTTTTTTCACATTTCAATTTTATAAATGCAAAATGGCTATGTATCATTTAGCTTATTACTAGTTCAAGTGTTTGCTTCCATTTCTCTACTTTCAAAATGCCTGTCCCTGCCAAACTTTACCTTCTGGTTTGATGTGTCTGAACACTTGTAACAGCCAAGACCAAGATTGTTTTTAGAACACTGCTTGATTCTCAAGTTTCATTTGTTCTAGTTCCATTGCTCAAATATAATTGTCATACATATTATTTTCTCAACAATTACACTGTAGTTTTTCTAGCAAAGTAGTGCTCCATGTTTAGCATCATCTGTACAGTTTACCCCACTTTTTCTCTAACGGGGAATTACAGTGTGTGTACAGCACTCCTTGTTGCAGCATGGAAGACAAAAGTGAAACGTTAACAAACTAAGATAAGCAAAGCTAATAATCAAGGCACGGATAAGAGTCCTGTCGTTGTTATTGTGCATGATTTCATTTATAGCACGTTTCACAAAATGGAAATAGTTTGCATATTTCAGGAAGATGTTCTGATAGAAGAGGTCAGTTCAACAGAACTATTGCTATGTAAAATTTCAACCTAAGTCCAAAGTAAATAAATCTCTGAAAAACTGTATGCAAGAGAAAATTCCACAAGATCTCAAGAAGTGCAAACATATTGCCAAGCTTACATTACATAGTTCTATTTATGTCTGAGACAATTCCTTTCTTGCCACATTCCTTCCATGGCAGGTGAAACTGAAGAAAAAGATCTGCTTAAATTCTTATAGAGAAGGTGATTGGAGTAGAAATCTCAAATGCAATTTTTAGAATATTTTTTTCCAGAATTTTCCTGAGATAACAGAATAACTGCAATGCAGGTATTTCTTGCTATAGCCAACATAGCTCAGGTTTGATTTATTTGGTAAGTCAAAGATATGATATGGATTGGTTGATAAAATGTGGATCTGTAGAATGAGAGTATATATGTTTGTAGATAAAAAAAACCCTCAAAACATCAGACTGAACATAGAAAGATGAAGCCATCATTTTTGACCCACAATCTGTTATTCTGAATCCACAACAAACTAAAATCAGGTAGGACAGAAAACATTGCTGAGGTTGGGGGTTCATCTTTCCTCTTTTCCTACCAATAATATAGGTTCTATAAAAAAAAAGTAAAAATGCACAGAGACAGCAGCCAGAGGACAGATGGACAGCTGCCTGATCTGATACAATACTCACATTCCAAGTTGCTTCCCAGCCAATGATTTCAAAACAACAACAACATTTATTTAAAATCCATTTGAATATCAAACTAGAAAACATTGAGTTTGTGACAAGACTTGCTTTTCTTCCTTTTACCACCTGCCACAAATTTGTTCACAGCGACTGACTGTTTTACAGGAGAAAAACCTCTGCTTTTAGCTAATAAATTATTCTGGGCTCATATACAGAATGCTAACCCAGGGTCCGGTCAGGCCGTTTTTGACAGAGTGGCTTTTCCATCAAGTTTTCTCCGCAATAACCTGTTTGAAAACTCCAAAGTAGCCCCCAGAAGTTCAACTACTCATTTGCTGCCTGGACCGTGCTCTGGCAACCTGTCTTTTGCCTGGGCAGCCAACAGTAGAAAATGAAAGCTCTCTCTTCCATTCTGATATGGGACAAATATATAACACCAGCTTCTCATTTCATCCCTTGCTATTTCAGAGTGAAATCTTTACAAGCACAGAGGTGTTTGAACAACAAGTTTTTCATATTTCATAAATAAATGAAATGAACCTAGAGTCACATATATGTGTGTATATCCATTGTTATATGTATATAAACTTATTCATATATGCATACCTATGTATATAAACTTATTGATACATGCATACCTACGTATATATACGCTGCTTGTGACAGACTGAATGCCAGGTTCAGTTGTTAGCAACACTCTGTATTACATAAAAGCAAGAACGTTGTTAGCAACACTCTGTATTACATAAAAGCAAGAATTTTTGTTCATTGTAGGAGTCTGACTCCCACACCATGGGAGTTAACAGGATTCTTCAAAGCAGCCATAATGATGAAACTAATGCTAATTTGATGTCTTCCTTTACTGTGTATTCCGTTTGAGTTACTTTTTAACACATAATAATAATGTCTTTCAGTTATTACTGAATTAGATAACCAAAAGGATTCTCTGTTTAAAGTCCCTATGCCCAGCTATCAGTAGATACACTTGGAATTTTAGTATAAGCAACACTATAGTAGATCTTACTTTACAGATCAATTATTTTACTATAAATAAGAATATTCACACATCCATTTTGTATGCTTATAAAATTCAAATTGAGAATTGGATGATCTAGCATCTCTACCATTCAACAAAATGCTGAAAGGATATACATAGTAAACCATACAGAGATCTTTAAGATTAAAGGTTCTTGCATACCAAGAGCAGTGGAAAATTAGTTCATTGTTCCGTAATACATATGCATAATATGTTATAAATATCAAATCTTAGCTCAGCAAGTAATGGAAACTCACTTTGCTCTCCAAAAACCTCCTCAATTGTTAATGAAACACGACATATCTGGAGTTCAGCTGACTCTGTTAAATGCTCTCAAAAGATGCCAGTCAATTAAAGCATTAGATAAGTGATCCTTTTCCTAACTTTAGGGTAAGGTAAGCAAGTGACCATTACACAGCGATTTTCAGTTGAGAGAGACATTATGAAGATATCAAGAAGTTTCAATTTTAGTCTGGCCTGTTTTATTATAGGATTTTGGATTCCTCTCTGGCGCTAGGCAACTGATTGAGACATCTTCCTATATTATGTGGTGTTCATTTGCAGTTACAAATAGAAGCTTTGCTTAGAAGGCCAGTAAGCTAGCTTACTACTTAGTTGATGTAGAAAGTCTATCCCTATAATGAAAGAAATTAAAACTATATTCTCCATAGTATATATAAAAACATATTTTGCCACTCAGTAGTAATATCCATGTTAGAAATATTGGATAACCATAAGTAATTATTTTGCTTTGCTGAATGTATGCTGATTAGCTCCCTACAGATATCACATGCTTATGCAGTTTTAAACAGAGCTAATTTCTGTCTCATTGCTCAACTGCTAGAAGCTAATAAACATTAAGGATTTTTTTGCATGTTCTTCTCCTTCCAGCACAGAACACAATTCAAAAAAGATCTATTTCTCTGCTTTAGTGCTAAGTCTGCCTTTTAAAATGTCACTTTATTTCTCAAATTTTGGAAGTCACTTGGTAGTTTTATAATTCTAGCCATTAATACTTTTTCATGTTGGGCATCCGCACATTCAGAATTACAGATCATGCATGCATCATCAGGAAGTATCTTAATTTCTGGATAGTTACAGATTTGTCTTCTTGAGCTCACAGTATCTTCAGGGTTTGTTTGGGTTTTTTTTTTGGTTTTTTTTTTATACCAGACAGCATCCAAGTATCAGATGCTACATAATTACTGAAAACCCGCCCCCCCAACCAGGAAAAGCTTATTACCTGATTATATCCTTGCTAGGACTCATTTCTTCCCTAGGCTCAGACAGGCTAAATATCTCTTCCTGTAAATACCAGACAGGTTGAATTTTTATATCACTCTAGGGACAGGGGAGAGAAAAGACGCTGCTGGTGATGTGACTGCAGTGATGGGTGAAGCTCCCAAGACACACACTGCCTTCAGATTAGCTACCGTTTCTCAGGCTGAAGCCCAGACAGCCGAGAAGGCAGCCATCTGACACAGGAAACACGACAGTCATTTTATTCCTGGGAAGCAGGAGTTAGAAAAGATCCAGAATGTTAATGGATTACTTGATTATGCTCTTAAAAACATGGGCTAGACCTTCTAGTTTTTCCTTTTAGACATGGCTGGAGGAGCAAGGAGTTCAAGAAGTTTTGCCTTCAATTCTGAAGAGTCTCAGATCATTTGAAGCGCTCTGACTCATCGAGTGAAGCTCAGGGAGAATGGCTCACAGCTGCTTCTGTCCGTGGTGCAGGCAGTGCCCTAATTTCTCATTCTGCTTCTAGGCTCTTCCCTTTGCACTGAAAGATTTTGGGCTGGGACAATTCTAGCAATGCTATTATTCTGTGGCTCTGGGCTTTTGAACACCCCCGGGAAGCTGAAGGAAGGCAGCCATTGCAATGGCAGTGGGGGACACCAGTGAAAGGCAGGACCTCCTGTTCAGAAACCGCTCCAGAAAAACCAGTGCTCTGCAGTTGAGAACAGAAGTGGATTTTCCTTTCTGCTGCCTCAAAAAGGAACAGAAACTAAGCCATAAATATATAACATCGGAACGATGAGCCTTCAGTTCACAACACATTTTTAAGTACACCTGGCCAATCCCCTGTTTCATAGCAAACCAGCATTTCCTCCACAAAGGAACAAAAGCCTAGCAAAGCAGTTACTGAATGCTGAACTGGAAAAGATGTGTTTACATCCCATTTGCTGGCAGTAATGCTTATGCAATTGTGTGTTATCGGGTTCAGCTACCCGATCTGATCGGCTTCTCATGGCCAACTCCCACCAGCAGTTATTGTCAACTTCTGCCTATCTTCTTTGCTTGACAGAACTGGACATAGAGTCACCTCCTAGATAGTCAGAAACAACACGACATGGATTAATAAAAGGAGATGTGTGATGCTAAGTAAAATGCTGGTGCAAGTAAATATTCCTTATGCAGAACTTAGTATCATCATCTTTAGCATATCTGAACACCACCAGCCTGAGAAACACGTGCCAAGGTCGTTCCTAAATCTTAGTTTTGTACATGTCAGCTGTTGCAAAGCCATCTGCCAGGCCAGCTGTTTCTGGAATATATAACAATTTCTTAGCTTATATATTTAGTCTAGAAGTTCCTATGTTTTTTCCCCTCTTTCCTGTGTTTCTCAATTTATTTCTTAATTGTGATTACCAGATGCAGGCTGGTATCAGCCATATCTTCTGTAATATCATACACAGAAACAAATGATCATATCCATTCTTTGATTATTAACTTTTTTTTTTTTGGCTGGAATTCAAAACTTGGCAAGATCAGCAACACTAAGCAAGGTAATAAAAATGAGCAAAAAATGTTATTTTTTTTCAAGTCATGACAAAGTTTGAACAAATACTATGATGCTTGCATATCCATACACACACCCCAAATATATATATATATATATATATATATATATATATATATATATATGAAAGCAAGTTTTGCCAAATTTAATTGTAACAATAATATTGTTACTACTAGTCTGTACAGCACCATGAATTTAAATTCTCCTTGGAGCCAGCAGGCACAATGCTGACTAAAAACCTATTTCCACCAGGCACTGCAATACGTACCATGAAAATTTCAGTCAATCCTAAATTCTGGATTCCTAGGTCTGACTAAAAAACCCCCCTCCTCTGCTAACAGTTGCATTTGTATAATTGACTGGTCAGCTGGCTTATCTGATCTAAAGCTAAGCCTACAAAAAAGGATAGCTGGTGATATAAGTGAAATAAAATTCAATAGTTTCAGACCTGTTGTAATGACTTCTCAGGAACACTGGGAACCTGTTTCTCTAAAAATAAGGCCTGAGCAAAGAAAGAATAGCTCAAAGGCAGGTTACATCTCAAAGTATCACTAGGCAATGCTTAGAGCCCTACGTTACCATTGCCTGTGCTGTATCTCATTTCCTGATTTGCAGTTTTTAATTTGTGATTTTTCTGATGAGCACTAAATTAACAAACAGGCAAAAACATCATTAATGATATTACAGCAGATAATTCCTTTTTGAGAGCAAACAAATCTTTACCAATTCAGCATTTCAACAAACAGATTTGAAATGAAGTTCTGTTGAGATTTGTCATTTGCTACTTGGAAAACAAAGCTGTTGATGCTTAGCATCTTCATTCTCTAAAAGTGTTTCTGAGTTTCCAGTTATGTGGGCTTACTGAAATTCAGAATAGAAAGAGGTACAGATTATATTATGAATTTATTGTGTAAAATAAGTCCAGAGATTTTAAATCTTAAATTCAAAAATGAAAAACTGCAGCCAGCATTATAAAAGATATTTTGAATTTTTATTACATACATCATATAACTTTGTTTATTTATACCATGATCATTGCATACTACCCATATTTTTTATTAACATTAAAAATGCCTTACTTGTTTGCAACCAAACGCATCACTGTCCAGTCTTTTGGAAACATCTCTGGTCGTATTAGTATCCGAAATACAGTGAAAATCTGCAGCAGGAAATCCTTTGGAAGGAAAACAAGCAGTCATATGCCTTTGTTGCTTTAAAAAGAGTGGTGAGCTTCAAAAATATTTTAATCAGAGACAAAAACTCATTATAGAAATCGCAGAATTGCATTTATTTTCAACACAGATACACCTCTGAATATTTTTTCATTTTTTGATTCCCCAAGAAAGCTTCAAATAGTGATTTAAATCAGTTTTCTTAAAAGGAGGAAAATAATTTAATGTGCCATTTGATTGACAGCAATGCATAAGAGAAATGTCAAAGATGCATTTGGTTTCCACCCATACACTTCCACAAATGCGATCCTGAGAACAATTTGCAAATCAAAAAAGCATTTTACAAACACTACAGAGTTCTGAATATCTCCTTAATCATGCCAGGTTTTCAACACTTTCCAGATTTATTCTAAAAGCAGCATTATGTGATGGGAAAGAGAGCAAGTGTAAGGACAATTTTATCATTGGGTTTGCAAAGCCCAGTGAATTCAATAGTGATGCCCAGGCCCCTGAACTGTTATTGCAGCTGTCTGTATGCAGGTCACTTAACCATTCTGCCTCATTTGTTGAATCTATAAAAACAGTGAACACACATGAGCTACTCTGAATGTAGAAAGCACTGCTTAAGAGCTTTTAGCCTCATCATCTCCTACGTCATTTAATCCACTAATAAATAACTAAATTAAACTATTCCTCTCAGCACACAGTTTTTCAGATTTTTCTTTTCACAAATAAAACTACCAACAAGGGTAATATTTCTAATGGCTCATCTCGATTGTGTATAGTACTGCCAGTATTTTTTTAGTAAGCAAAATGGAACTTTTGAGATCATGAAGAGCATGAGGTAAGTGATATAACATGCCTAACAGAATCGGTGTGGTACCTGACCTTGAAATGTTTTGTATTGACTCTGCCCACACTTGTAGAGAGTTAGCCCGAAACACAGATGAGATGAAGATACAACCAAAGGATACCAAATAATTTTGAACACCAAAATACATTCTCAAGTGCATTTACCAAAGCGTAGATGACAGGCATTGCACAACAGATGTCTTTCATTAGAGAATCACTGTAAAGGGGGACGAATGCAGGCACTGGGAAAGGCAGCTGAGATCCCTGCGCCCACCCACCAGAGATTACATAAAAGAGACAACCTGTTTTCTGAGCAAGATGCCAAAAAGTTCTCTGTATTAAAGAGCATAAACAACACTCATTGCAGATAACAGTGTTTGAATGCAGGTGACCAGCTTTACAGATAAAGAAGTAGCTCTACAAGCAACACGTTTATTCCAGACTGCTTTCCTATAGCTTTGCACCTTGTAGCTAAATTTCAACATTTCTGCCTGCTCCTTTTTTTTCTTTAGGGGTTACCTCCCTTCCCTGTACTGTAATCCCTGCAGCTCTGTGCTCAGCAATATGGGAATGCCTCGAATGTTGCTGTATGTCACCTCGCAATAACGTCCCAAATTCTCCCATATCCCATTTTTATCCCATGTGTTGTCCAGACACAATACATGTTGCTGGTGTTAAGGAGCTAACTGACTGGCTGCTGAACTGAAGAGACCAAATGGCTCCTCTTGGAAAACCAAGCAACTGTTTAAGGACTTAAAACCAAAGGGCTGCGTGAGGTGTAAACTTAGTGCCTTTGAGACCCACGGGCCACTGCCAAAGCCTGCTGAAATTAGAATCATAGCATCATTTAGGTTGGAAGAGACCTTTAAGATCATCCAGTCCAACCATTAACCTAGCACTGCCAAGTCCACCACTAAACCATGTCCCTAAGCACCACATCTACATGTCTTTTAAATACCTCCAGGGATGGGGACTCAACCACTGCCCTGAGAAGCCTGTTCCAACTCATGAGCTGGTTCAAAAGTCATTAAGAAAAGAATGACAGACAGAGAGGAAGATTATATACTTCATTTCTTTAGGTAACTAGGCTAAAACCAGAATAAATCTTTTATTCCAGGCAAACTTTAAAACAAAGCAAATACAGACACTGGCATTAAATTTTGAATCATAAACACCAGGCTAATTATTTCTAATTTTAACAGAAAAAATAGAAAGTTGCGTCATTAATGGAGTGATAAGTGATATTAGATACAAAATGGGCATTTGAAAAGCCTGAATAAGACTGAAGATCTCTTTGTTAGACTACGTGTTAAAAACATATAAACAAAATGGAGTATAATTCAAAGCTGAAATATAACTGAAAGAAATAGATACCTTCTAAAAAACTTTAGGAAAACTAGTCAGTTGTAAGATTTTCAAGATACAAGTATTAAGCTTCTGTTAACAGAACTAATCTGTAGCTAACTTTAGTTTTTCGTGATTCAGTTTTTGTATATTTGGTAATACATTTCTCTAGGAATCTATTATAAGCATGAAAATAACCAAAGGGTAAAATGCCAGTTGACTAGTTTGATACTTTGCCATTAATGTGCTGGTATCCTTCATGTGTCAGCACAGCTCATGATGTTCACTCCCAAGGGACCCACCCATAATAATAATAAAAGCAATTCCATAAAATGATTTGATCATCATTTCAATGCCTGGCATTTTGCAGGATGCAAGTGCTCATTTTTGTTTCATGGTCCAAACGTCACAAGACGTTGCTATGAAGTACCATTCGCGGAAGATCAATTTTGTAACTATATTTTGAACTGTTTCCTTTGCACTATTGTGTTTCATAGTTGTATCTGCTCTGCTGAACACATCATAATGATTTAGTAACAGATTTTAACATTTAAAGATTTTTGCCAGCAGTGTAAGCGAACTAACATTTGGTTGGTTGAGTACAAATATAATTAATGTCTCATATGCCTGCTATCTTAAGAGACAGCAAGGGAGTAATTTTGTCCTTTTACATACTCTAAATACCATCTCTTAATATTCCTACCTAGTGTACATAAGCTCTAGTACTATCTTACACCACTTAAATTTTACTTCATGAAATTATCAAGCTGTGATTAAGTGAGAAGCACGGCCTTCTGAAAGACTGAAAACCAGCTATTCATCTAATCAAAAACTGCCTTGGAATTTCTTTCACATTTCCCTGTATGCATGTAAAATCCTCTGTAAAGGTGGTCAGACTCTTCACGGGATCACTCAGGGTGCATCTATGTTAGCATTTTAGTTTGGGTGAACAGTCCACTTTGAAGCTAATTGCTTGATCATCTATTGCTTTGGTTCACACTGCAGAGTTATCAAGATAATTGAGACTGAGTCTTTGTAGAGCATCCTAGAGCTTTTTTTCAGAGTGACAAGGTGCCCATAAGAAAGAGGATGAACAGTGACCCCTCTCTGCCTGGACAACTCATCCATCCTGTGGCCTACTCCTTTCCCAGATCTTCCTTCATTCACTGCTTCCTCAATCTACATCAGAAGCCACCCAAATATTTGTTACAGAGCTACTCCTCTGCCCCAGCACTCATCCTTTCAGAAGTCCCATACGTGAGCAGATGTCGCTGCATAGCAGGGGAAGAATTGAGCTTCTCCACCAGAGACATTCCCCATACCTACAGACCTCACACAGCCTGTGTCCAAGGGGTCATTAGAGAACAGTGGAATAAATTGCACTTGGTGGTAGGATTCAGAACCCACATTACCCTGTTCAGGCTCCTTTAGCTGGAAGAGAGGGATCAGAGAGAACTAGTAAGGTTTACACCCATCCCCATGAAATATTATCTTTTCCTTCATCAGATCTCTCCTGTATATCTGTTCTGCCACATTATGTAGGGTACACTGCCAATGGATAAAAACTAGACCTTCTGGCAGGTGCTTATCAATTTGTTTTGTCTTCTTTTAATCTATTAAAAAACACACACATATCAACCAAAACCACCCTGCTGTGGTCAAAGCTGCACTGTGCTAACATATACTGTTTTTTTCATTCACTTTCCCACTTCTTTCCTCCTATTTATAACTTCCACTGTTACCTTTGTCATAAATTATATCTGAGCTTTTTTGCGGCAGCAAATATCCGCCTACAAGGGCGCCTCTGTTCTATAAATTTCTATAAAATATATTTAATAGAAGATGATGGTATTTTGTAGAAAGCAAAAGGAGCATATCTTTAAAATAATATTGAAAGATAAAAGAAAGCATTTAAAATTACTGCCTCATTAAATTCAATGTTTCAAAAAAGTGAGTGAAGTATAGTCTCCAGTGCTACCACTCAGCCATGAATCCCCTGTCATTTCTTTGTTACTTCATTTGCATGTTTTCAAACATAAAATGCTTTTTCTGTCTTCTGCTTTGTGTGGAAAAAACCTGACTCTCAAAGAACTGACTAAAATAAAAACAGTCACCATGTCAATTACTTAAAATAAACATATTTACAAAATAAAGGAAATATTTCCATAAACAACCACTTGTTTAAAGCACCACTTAGATGCATGTCATAAAAATGTGTACATGTCATTCCTTTAAAGCCTCCATTTTGCTATACTGTGATTAACAAGCTGGAAACAGTCTTTAATAATTTTGTTATAGACTGTTAAAAAAAGAATAAGAACTGCAAATATATTTCGATAGAATGAATGACAATCTTCATTCCCTTTTACAAGTACTTGCATGAGTGAATTTTTGTTTGGAGAAGTGGTTTGGTGGGGGGATTTTTTCAATAGTATCACAAATGCTGTGCAAACATGCATTCATGCAAGCACGTGACATAGTTGCCTTGAGAATTAGTCTGGAAGAAAGAAGAGATACCTTGTGATATCAGTGCCTAATCGTTCAGTATAGATGGCTAATTATAAACAGAGGTAGTCAAAGCAAAAAAACACAGTAGGTAGCAATTCAAAGGCCTGGGTTACACTCTGATAAGTCCCTTGCACACCCCCTATCAGATTTGTAACCTGTAATGTGGCTTAGGGAAGACCCTATCCACTTCAACATCACTGACTGGGAGCAAAAAGAGGTTTCAAAAATACAGCAAGCTGATGGTAGTTACCACTGAAGCTTAAATCCCAAAGTACATACTACCCACAAGATTAACTATGGCTACTAGTTCAGCCTCTAAAAGCATATCTGACAAAAAAAAAAGTGTTATCACAGATATTTACACCTTGTGAATCTTCATTTGCTCATACTGATGTCATTTCTTAAAGCAGTATAGAATACCAAGGAAGTTCCACACTTGGCAAACAAAGCAGAAAAATACAGAGGTAAGTGGCAAGATGGTTTAGATCATTTAAGTCATATACAATCACCTCATGATTAACAGCAGTGTCAGCCTCACACACTAGCTCTCATGCTTCCCTCTTGCTCTCAGTTATACACATTTCAGTGATATTTGATATTTCCAAGTGAGGAAAAAAACCAATATATTATTTAAGATTCAGAAGAGAAGGAATGCTGCATTAATTATGATCAACCTACTGCCACTGAATCACTGGTGGAGGTGATGCTGATTTGATGAGATCTGAATGGAAATAAACTCTGGGCTTGAGTTCTTAAGACCTCTATTTTGATAGCTGATGGCACTGGCTACAGCTGCTTTCCATATGTCTCTGTATAATAGTAGGGTATGTGCGTGGGGGGAATATAAATGTGTCAAATCAAACACCATTCAAGCATTAATTCTAGAGATTTTTCACGTTCTAGAAGCAAGACAGTCTGAATAAACTCGACACTGTATTTCACAGATACATCAAACAGAAATCAAGCTTGAAACCTCTAGGAAATATAAAAGTCTAAACCTAGGAATATAGACCTGCTCAGAACTAAAACAAAAGGGAAAATATTTTCAGTAAAAAATGCCTAGGTTCCACAAAATATACTAAAAATTGCCTAAGGATAGCAGCTATACTAGATGAAAACAGATGCTGTAATACTAGTATAAAAAGCATCCACCCTATGTAACTCCTAGGTAGTACCTTTGATTCATAATAGAGAACTTCTCAGCAGTATTTTCTGTCTTTTGAGATCAATATGACCATCTCACTACAAAAAAAAAAAGCACTCACGGATGGCATGCTCTTTTCAGAACAGCTCTAAACAGTTATCAGGAATTGAAGGAAATCTGAAATTGCACCATGGCTAGACTCCCCTTTTCAGGCTAGTACTTAAGTTTATCAAATGGTAATTTAAGAGTAACATCTAAAAATAGATTAACACACTAGGACATTAGTACTCTCCTATCTAGGATCACTGGCTGAATAATGGGTATAAGTGATCACTCAAGATTTCTTGTGCGGATTAAATTTGGTACTATATAAGTTTCACAGGGTCTAGAAGAGCGGCAGTCTTAATATATACCTTTATACAGGAAATCTTAACTTTTAAAACATTTTTTAAAAAATCCATCCCCCTCCTCCAAAAGGGAATTAAAAATGTTGTATCTCCATGAACCTGGTAACTCCATCAATGAAATTGGTAGAAGCTGCCCTGAAAGCGTTGTGAAGCTACTCTCTCCCATGATCAAACTGGGTAGATAGACATTACAAGTCTGACAGGTCCTCCTGCCAATGGACTTGCTGCAGAGTTACGAAAAGCGGAGAGTTGGTTGAATAGGCATTTCTCAAGCCGTGTTTGCCATTGACATATATGATTTAATGAATGAATGAATAAATAAATAATACATACAATAAAACAAAAACACCACCCAACTGCCTAGCAGGAAGAATCAAGCAGAACCTTAGATTGACTAGATTTAACCTTTAAAACAGGCTTTGAGGCTAAGTTTATGGCTTTAAAGCTATTATATAGTGCCCCCCATCCCCATTCTATCTGCTGTCATTGTAGAAGCAACAGAATCCTAACCCCACCCTAAGAGTGGACCTAAGTAGACCTGAAAGCCTGTGCAAAAGTTGGCTAATCTGAAAAACAGATTGCATTTAAATACCAAGGCATTTCATCAAAGCACAGAAATATCTTAAAGGGAGGTAAATCAAAAAGAGAAATAAAGAGAGACCTGAACAAGTGGAAAGACAATTCTGTTACTTACCCTCAGATCCTCCTTTGTGTTGAAGCTGTCAAGAAGCTGTTGATAATGTCTATCAGTCATTTGTCGCAAGAGTGACAACAAACAGGAGACAAATTCCCCCTGTTCAGATAAGCCAAGAATAGAAATATAATAGATATTATAATGTCTTCTGCATTTAAGCTTAAAGTGTCATACTATAAGCACTTAAAAATAAATAACAGATGCAAGAGAAATTAATCTACAATTAGGAAACATTATTTCTTAAGACTCCATATTTGGTGAAAATACGTTAACTTTGCTATGAACTTCCTTCCCATTTAAAGAATGATTTTTCCCCAAATTAAGTTTACTTGCTTAGCAAAGCCTATTTGAAATAGTTCCAGAAGGGCTAAACCAGTAAAAGTTTGATTTTTGATTTGTGATTTGTTTCCCTTGTATCTGTTTTTAAACAGATTTAGATTGCTAAAATTACAACCTTTTAGTCAATTCAGTTTTGAAACAAATATAAACAAAAATATTTTGCAACAGTTCTGGGAAGAATGCTTTTGTTTTCCTTTAGGGAATAAATTAATGGAGTGAGCTGGGAATTTTTTCAAAACATTTTTTTTCATCACAAAAGACATGTTTGTCAAAAAGAAAACTCATTTATAGGACTGAACAAACCTCGAAAATGTTTTGATCAGAAGTTTCCTTGGACCTACAGAGGAATTTCTCATTAAAACATATATCCAGAAGTTGAGCTTAATCATAGGGCAAGACCTCTCTCTCCCACAGTGACAATTCCTGGATTCACACTCCACACTCCAGAAAAGGGATGCTCCAGGGAGCAGCTGAGGGACTTACTGGACTGCTGTGCGGATTCCTCCCTGTCTCTACTGATGCACATTCACCAGGCTGTCCTTCAAACAGCATGGGATTCAGGAGCAAAAGAGCAGAAAATAGCATTGGGTATCTCCAGTGAGCAATCAACTGACCAAGACATTATGGGAAGGAATAGGTTCTCCCTCTCTTTTTCCTGTATACTTGCTCACTTTTGAAATGGGAAGAAACACTGAATGGTATCAGTCTGGTCCAACTGCAGAATGGATGAGGACAGGAAGGAGTGAAATGTATGGATTGCATCCCAGTGCTTAAGAACAATTCTGAAATCTTACAAGCCTGTTAAAAAGCGGGAAATACACTTCTACCCTCTATCCACCAGGAATGGGGAATGAGACTGGGGGAAACAGACAGGTATAACAGTACTTTAAAAGGGTGTCTTTCTTTAGTTTGTCAAGTCCAATTTTGGAAAGATTTCCCCCCATCTTTCATTAAAAACAGAAAATAATATAAAAAAAGGAGTATGTTTTCACAGAAACGGGTATTCTGGATTTTACATTGGAAGGCCTAATTCACTTGTGATTACACCTTGTATACTGGGTGGTGTGTGAGGTGATGGCTTTCACTGGTAATAAAATAATAATAGCCTTGCTCATAATAGGATTCTACACTGAAATAAAGATCCCAAATTAATTACGTCCCTGCAAAGCCATTGTTTTTTACAGTGAACACAGCATTCTCAAAACAATATCCTAAGGCTACAAAGTCTCCTAATCTTCATGCACTGGGCATAACCATCAAGGTTACAGCTGCCATCTCATAAATATCTGAAAATTGATTTCCAACCCTATCAGGTTCTCTTCAGAAAACAAAAAGACTTTTACCATTATTTTTTAATATTTTCAATTTCATTATATCTAACCTCAATATGACTTTATCATGCCATTTAGTATAATGCAGGTTCATCTAAATAGGCACAATTTTTGGAGACTTTTATTCCAGTTATAAAATCCGAGACCACTCAGATTTGGCTAATTAGCCAAAATAAGCAGAGTAAAAAGTGTAAGCTTACCTGATTGCTAGCTTGAGTATGAACCTTTTGAATACTTCCCTTCTTGCTTAAGCATTTTAAGCAGTCTTTTCTAGTCACCTTCCTTCGATGTTCCCACATTTACTTTGTCTTATAGTAGTACATTAAAAATCACAGTCTATTATAGAAAGCTGTACTATTATAGTTGACAGACAGATCAGCTTTAAAAGGGTACCAGCTTTAGCTAATTGTTAACTGACTTCTAAATTTGAGCTTTTAATTCAAATGTAGGTAGCTATACAGGCAGCTGGTTTTTAAAATAACAATGAACATTCAGCTGCATTTGTTGAACTCAACACAAAAATGTATGTTGTAAGATTTCTGCCAGTGTTAGCCACAAACTAATTAGTCAGGGTACATGCAAATCATGCACGAAAGCAAACTCCACACACAAAGACCTTGATAAAAACTATTTAGGATCTGATTCTAGTGTCATAAGTCAAGCCAAGCAGTATATCCAATTCCCTTAGGTAGAAGCCTTAAGTAATTTTTTGTGTCTTATTTAAGGAGCACAATTATTAAAATACATGGAGCTCACAATTAAATTGCAATTCATTTAGGTTCTGAGGGACTGAACTTCCAAGATCTGAAATCAATAAACGTTCACTTTAATTGGATTGCTTTCTGCTAACTCTTTATATGCAAATGCATTTTTCTTAAGGAAATCTAAAGGGCTAAATCACTGACATCCTAAAGCAGAAGTTTCACTTTTACCATTGCATTAAATTCAATGTTTATTAGTGCAACATCTGTAACACTGACACCCTGAAGACGTCATCTTTGTGCTCAGTTTAAAGCATCACATCCATCTCGCAGGTTACCATCTAACAAGATTCTTCACTGAAAACTGAAATGGTACCAAAGTATCGAAACTACTTGAGACGAAAGAGATGGTGTAGTTACGGCAGCGCACAGACTGATGCCACCTGATTTTATGTTGCTTCTTTGTGCAGAAAAACATTGACACATGGGCCTAGAAGATCACGCTGAGATGAGTTTGGGACTACTTCCACAATGAAGACTATATCTGATGCAAAAGCATGACAAAATTTTATCCAGTGTGCTGTCATGATACATCTCACAAACAGTATTTTATGATACATGCAACTTGAAATAATGGTAACGTACCAGAACACTTTACTGCTGTACTCACATTGAGTACTTTATCATACTTGCTCTACAAATAGTTCCAAGAATCCGGCTTTGTGTGTTGCCATAAGCCCATACTGCATGATGTTACTACATAAATGTATATAATTGCCTTATGCTGTGCTGTGAGTCACTTCCACATTAAGTATTCTTTGAGATGCCTGTGGTGAAAGTGACATGGCTTTTCTGATGCATAAAAAGAAAATTTTGCAACTTGAAAGCACTTTCAGAGTCTAATTTTTCGATAGTGTGAAAGAATTAGGCTGTCATGGTGCTTTATGAAAACTTAATCTTCAAGGAAGCGGATATCTCAGAAGAAACCAATAAGCTCAGAGCTTTGCTACACTAACAGTCTAATACTACAATCCTTACTTCAGCTGAGATTTTCTTGTAATGGTCTGATATGCCACATAGCGTACGTTTGTAATTTTGTAATTTAAATAAAAACACCCCCAAACTCTTAGATGTATATGCCTGCTGAATCACAGTGATTAAAGCATGGTGTTATCTTACTGCAGAGCTTGGTCAGCTCCATAAAACACTCCATATAATGTTTGTTCTCTGTGGGATGAAGTAAAACAAACAAAAAAGCCCAACACCACATTTCTCCCACAGCTGTTAAATGCTTTTTAAAATGCTTGATCTCAGAGGAAATTCAGGTTTGAAAAGCAACCATCTATTCAATAACAAAAACCATTACAGTGTAAAAATTGGGCAATTAATTAATTAAGCATATAATGGATGGTAACTCACACAGCACAGTACGTTCTTTGCACAAAATGTCACCCCCTCACCTCATATTGGAGTCATATCCCTTGCTATATTAGAACTGATTTGCCCTTCAAAAGTAAACTGGGAACCTTGCTGCAAACAAAGCAAAATAACACTATTTTGTTTCATCCATGTTCATAAATGCCTGCATTTCAACCTTCTATTTTGCATGAGTTGTTACAGCAGGTTGACCAAAATATCATTTGTTAATCTTCTAAATCCATCCTCTTTACTCCATGTGGTAGAAATGAAGCTCAAATGCTCAGCCTTTCATTGTTCTTTCAAGAACAATGCCTTTCAACTAATAAATTTGGGTTTGTACAAGTTAGCATCACAGATTCTACAGGAATTTTTAGAGCTGCTTCATCATGTAAAAATGCATGCATTTTAGGACATGCAACGTTATTGATTGATACTTTTCCATTTTCAGGCTTTCAAAAAGAGAGTTTCAGAAAGCTATTAAATTTGTCAACAAAAGAAACATAAGGAAATAATTATTGACCTCAAACACACTCAAAAGAAATTTTATCTTTTGGGTTTTTTTTCTGGATCACAATTTATAAATAAATTTATTGAAAAAAATTACTATTTCCAATGAAAATGAACAAAATGCAAGACAAGTTTTTTGTTCTCCTCATTCTCTGCTTTATATCCAAAATCTTGACATTGTGAATTACAATCTAAAGACAATATTGTCACAAGTCTAGCTGTCCAACCAGTGACAATTGTGAACTATTTCATTATAAAAAAAACTTACAGTCACATCTTGAAATTGGAGGCGCATAGCAGAGCCTGATGGTTGTGGTCGACTGGTGATCTCTAGTATGGTCCTTAACAGAATATCTAGCAGGCTGTTTACAATCACATCAATTTCTTCCAGGACAGATTTTTCCTTAAATAATAAAACATTTAAAATTTTAAAATAGAAAGATGACCACAGGCATATTTCCTTTGATGTTGTTTTAGAAACAAATGATAGTTTTACTATGAATTTTACATTTGAGCAACAAGAACTATTCTCTAATTAAGATATTGTTTAATCCTATTGATTTTTTTCTAACAGTTTTCAATTAATTACACTGTACTGAAATATAGAGGACAGTTACAGGGATGACTTTGAATATGTAAGCGTTCATCAAATTAGCATAGCTCTATTTTCAATTAACGTTTAGAAGAAAGCAGTAAATAATATATAAGAACTTTTCAGGCAAGATTTTTATAGGTAACACCCATATATTTTCTGGGGAAATTGCCAAGAGAGGCTTAAATTCCAAAAAGTAGAATTCTGTTTTCACACTTCGAAACTACCACCAGAAACAAGCAGATGGTGCTCAACCTTCAAGACCTGCTTCAGCAGTAAGGACCAGCTACATTGCTTCCCATCAACTGAGTAGCACAAACAAATTAGTCATTTATGTAAGCCTACAACCACTTGTACGCAACATCGATACAAAGGAACCAAAATGTTCACCGCCAAAAGAGACCAGGGATACCTTAATTACATGCATGAAAACACTTGATGAAGTCAAGTTGTAGTTACTTTTCCTTTTTAATTCATATGGAAATGTTTTCCCTGCTTCAACAATGTCTTCTGTCTCCACTGCAGCAGACACCACCATCTTAATCTGAGTGATTTTATCCCCAATTTAAGATGACATTTCTTCGCAGAAAGAAACACTTCATAATCAAATGCACACAATCAAACTAAAACTCAGCTGACAAACAAATCATTCAACTTTGCTGACACTGAGGTGTAGGAGTGATTTTTTTTTTTTTTTTTTTTTTTTTTTCCTCACACCCCAAACAAATTTTTTTTTAAAAATCACTAGCAGCCAGTTAGAAAAACAGCTTCATGTGTGCCGAGTCTTCTAAGGCAGTTGCCCTGAAAAAGTCAGAATCACATTCTCCGGTATATTTTCAATTTTTGTGACCGTGGGGTGTGGGAGTTTTTTTTTTTTTTTTTTTTTTTTTTGCTTCCTACACACCCAAAGCATATGATTTTTAACAAAACTCAAAATTCCTGTTTGGATTCAAGATGAGTCTAATGTCACGGCCATGTTCTCTGTCACTTTGTCTAGTATCAAACAACTATTAACTATCCTACTCATGAAGGCAGACAGTATACAGTATATTTAGGAGCTGTATCAACCATGAGGACTCATGTACAAACTACTATGAGAATGGCCAACCACCTTAATTTTCAAAGCTGCCTGACTGCAAATTCACCTGTTCCCTCAGTCTCTAAATGATCTTGATTACCATGGAAGCAATGAAGTTCTGAACCGATCCACAAAAATTATATCAAAGTCACCAAGTTGTGAATACTCTCAATGACTCAAAGACTACTAAAAGCAGTAGCTGCATATCCTGAACATTGGAGAGAGTTTTATGTAGACATCCACTTGTTACTGTGTACATCTCTGGCTTGATGACTCCAAATGAAAGATCTCCTGAAATTAAGACCAGATATGTAAGCCTTTCTCCCAATCCAAAACCACAGCTATGCTTTATCCTCTATCACTTTATCTTGTGATGAGGTATTATACTAATCCAAGAGCAGCTCCAATGAAAATGTTGTTACAGTGCCAAAGCTGCAAGCCACATCCATATCAAATCACTGCTGGAGCAACTTTAATTGCTGACAGTGGTATGAAGAAACACAAAACCCAGTTCTCACTAATGCATTACAATGTAATGTATGCTGGCCTTAATATGTAGGTACCGCACTAACTACAGGCAATGTTTGTTTTTAATTGTATTATATCCCTTTGCCTGTCAGAACTCATCATCGTCTTCATATTTGCAATATACCTATCTAAACTCTCTCTTATATGCAGCTTTCACAGATGAATTTGCAAACACAAACATCAGAAATTGGCCACAAAGTTTATCAACTAACAGCCAAGTGTAACCCCCCGTAACCCCCCTTGCAATACTCATATCAATCTATTTACCCGTATCACCACTGTGTCCCCTATGACTAAACAGCCCACAATAGAAAATGCCTCTAAAAGAAAGTGGACATTTCTTTCTGTCCAACATAACACTCAAGGAGTCAAAGCTTGGCAGAACACTATGCACTACAATTAAAATATTTCTGCATGGGAAGAAAAGGCTCATGAGAAATCAAAATGACATGTTTATGCAGAATCATTACACAGAGAACTCTAAAATGGACTTAGTGAAGATCCAGTTTGTGTCATTAAATGTCATTGAGCCATATAAAGAAGTTCAACACCTTGTGGATGTGACGTGGTGTTTACTTACTGAGCTGTTCTTCTTGATGAGGCAAAATATGTTGCTAAGGATACGTGCACACATTATAAGGTCCTTCTGCTCTTGTAAATGCATGTGGAGATGATGTAAAACTACCGGAAGAAGAATGTATCGAGAATCTGGAAAAAATGAGAAGTTTTATGAGTAGGAGCTTCTCATAGAATCATTTAATTTTAATACAGAAATAAAATGTGTCTTCAGTCCAAAACAGTATTTCTGATAAGCAGCAGCTTTTACTTGGTTTAACCAACATTTTTGATAAGCAGAAGCTTTTACTTCATAATCAAAATATCCTAAAGCAAATATTTGATGAATAAACAATATGCTGAAGGTCAGTATGTCATATCATGGGTGGATAAACACACCACTGTGTGGAATATACTATATATAACAGAAAATTCTAAGTATTTATTGAACTGTCATGCAATAAAAAACAAACCACAAAAAAACAAAAAAAAACCCAAAAACTTAGCACACTAATAGTCATATTCAAAATAATGTGAAATTATGCTCTAGTGTTCCCTGCCATGTGACAGGATCCCTTTGCAAGCCAAGGTCACAACAGACTTCGTCTTGAACTTATGTTCTACAAATGAGTTCTACTTTACAGACAAGCAGTACTTCCAGATTTCTTTCAGGATTTTCACTTTTCCACATTCCTCACTCCTACTGAGTATGAGCAATTTAGACTACTGGTTTCTATGTAAAATGATTTGCCTTTCCTCTATTTCGTTTTCTAAACGCAGCTCTTGGTGCTATTTTCAGCCCTGAATTCTCTCAAAATTATGCAAGAGCTTCATTAACATGCTACCTTTTCTTGCTTCTTTTTCTTATAATTAAAGACAACACTAAATGGTAAGAGCCCTAATACTTACACTCCTGATAACACATTAAACACCTATTTACAACTTGATAAATGGAATGGGTGTTGTCTGTTTTCATTTTATTGTTGTTTTTAGATCTGTTCCATAATTGAGAAATGATGTTCTCATATAAATGTACTTGAATCATTTCCTCTATTAAAATTTTAATGATGATTATATGCTACATTATCTAAATATATTCATCTACTCAGTTCCTTTGTTCATTAATGTAATTATTTCCTAAAAATTGAGTTTATCTAGCTGGAAAATTACTCCTTTAAAATAATTTTTCCAACCAGGTACTGTTTGGATTAGTCTTTCTATAAACACTTTTTTCCCTTCAAATTTTTCCTCTATTTCTTCCAGGAGGGAGAAAAAGATTTATTCTGAGATTTTATTTGTTGAATGCTACTTTCATTCACTGAAATACGGCACTAATCTTGTTTTCATTGTCTAGTTATCTGTATAACACAAGACAAATCATATGGACAGGTTGATTTGTACACAGTACTTAAGCATATTCTTGTTTTTGAAAAAAGCTTGCCAGCTCTTTTTAAATGGGTGTTTCATGCTTATTATTTATTCAGGTATTCCAATATATCTTCCTACTGAAGAAAAATATAAAGAAAAACTGTATGGCAATAAGCAAAAGGCCATCAATGAATATAAAACCAGTGGTACTGGAACCCAAAATCGGGAAACAAATAGCCTCTATCCAGTGACTGTTTACTTCTGCAAGTGCCTTAATAGGTTTTCATCAGGACTGGCCTGAGAGTTCATATCTGCCTGTAGTACTGCAGCTGGGCAGAAAAATCTCAACCAAAGCAACAAGGCATTTTCTTTTTGTCTGTCTAAAAAACAGAAGGTTAAAGTGTTGCCCCAGGTAGTCTGAGAAGTCAAGTGTGCACAGCTGCCACCAACCCATCCACGTCAAGATCTATAGGGTCAAAAGGAAAGCGAGCCGGAAGATGGCTAATGTGCAGACCTGTGATTAGGGAAGTGCTAGCTTCTGATCTCCATGACTAAATCTGCCTATTGATTACTGATTGATGAAAAAACAGAGCTAATGCCTTTAACTGAAGAAAAAAAAAGCAGGACTCTCCATTCCTATAAAAAAGACCTAACCTCTAGGTTACAGGGGATGGCTCCTTTTCCCTGCTTTCTGTTAGGCTTACTTGTATTGAATTCTTCACTACCTGAAGAATTCTTCACCTCTTCAAGAGAAGAGATGAAGGGTTCACTGTGTAAACCAGCCTGAGGCTCTGCGGTTGGGGTACTCTCGTGGCAGGCAGGTGATAGGAAGCTGACTCCAGGCTGACAGAACACTGAACCTGGTCTTCCATTCCCAGGCAAATGCTCAAATCAGTACTCAGCTCCACAACTGACACAGAGCAGTCAGAGCAGCTCTTTCACACATTACTGGTGTGAGCCTTATCCTTTGGGCCACAGGTCCTCTGAGGACAGCAGGTTCTCTCTTACTCAAATCCCTCAGCCCAGAAGGTGAGGAGAAAACAGGAGCAGCCCTGTGCCAAGGTGTTTCTTGTTGGTTAACTCTAGGCAGGTTCCTGAGGAGCACACACAGGATTTGATACCTTTTCTGAGGTGCCCATTACTCTGTGCGCTGCTTACATGTAAGTGCAGCATTACGAAATCCATTTTGAAGACCAGAGAATCTAGGTGTAGCAAGACTTGACTTGTAAATAGCCAACTCATATATAAGATATGGCCTGAAGCATCTCAGGCAAAACTGAGCATCCTCATTCAACTGTTTCAAGTATCCCATTTTTGCAAAAGCTCCATAAAACTATAAGGAATTTGTTTTACCAAGACCAAACAGATTAGCAAAAAGCATCTTACAATGACTTGCAACTGTACATGGGAGGGAACAGTGCCAGTTACTCAATTAACTACCACATATAACACAGCTTTAGATATATTCCTCGTAAGCCCATAATCTAAATAACTCTGTCTTGACCTGTTTAGGTGGAGAGATGTAGTGGTATTACAGAAGAGGAGAGCTGGCATATTCACCTCTGAGCCACACCACGGACTATGTGAGAAAGTTTGGAGAACGTAGTCTACATTTGTCTCAGGTTATTCTTTTTATTAAAAGCTGTCAGCTTCAATGTCAGCCACTGTATATAGAAAAATTAATGAACGCAAGGAACAGTGCAATAATCAGAACTCTTAGCCATCAGTCACTGTCCTAATTTTTCTTCTGTGCAAGAAGGCAAATTAGCTGACTATTTAAAATGCTAATACTTGCCCTTTACAAATATTATGTAGAAAGAGAGGAAGAAAATCATGACATAGAGCTTTTCGAGTACATACTTGGAATAATTAGAGAGACTACTCTGGGCAATCACTGTGACTTTCCTATGCAAGCTACGTTAATGTTTAATATTTAACCCACAGCACAACTTTCCTCCTTGCTTTTCAGCTAGTGGTAAAGCACCTGCACAGACATACAAAACTTCCTTTATTCTAGTGTATTTTAAAGATTAATTTCAAGAAGATTATATTCATTTCAATAGCTGAACAGATGGTCAAAACTTCAGTCTGCTTGGAGAAAGAATTAGTGTAATTGAACATTTTAAATAAACAGCATTCTCCTTGAACAGTGAGAAGCAAGAAAGTTGCTCTTGGTTTTGATAGTTTTACTTGGACCTATTCAATTTACACCTCCTTGTTTGGAAGAACCACTGGATTTGAGGGTGATAGGAGAAGAAAACACTTAAGCCAGACACGTCACTGTTCTCAGAGCAGTCAGTTTCAAAAAAAATTTTATGAGGAACTGTTTTCTGTTGAAAGAAAAAATTTGCTTGTAGTGCAGAAGGACAACACAGGTATGGCTGAGAAAGTCCTCTCTTGGCCTAAAGAAGAGCCACAGATGCAAAGCATCATTTGCAAAGCTTTTGCAAAACATTTTCTGCTCTCCACTATAGAGGCACTAATAAAAGCTGAATTTTTGTATGCAATATATACACATACATCCCCCCACAAGTGTGTATAGAAGCACACATACACAAACAACTCCAAAGAATAGTATATTGCTGTGGAAGACAAATTAAGAAATACTAATTAATCTGAAAAAGATCTTGGAGTATTTGAAAACGGTACTACAGATCAATGTGTAAAATCTTTATGTTTTGAAAAAATGGACTCTCTTTTTTCAAATCTGTGTTAGTATGTAAAGTTTAATGCATTTTAGCTAAATTTAATTCAGGATTTGTATCAACAATTTCAATAATGATAGGCGTTTTGCATTTTTAGAGCAATCAATTAGCTTGCAGTGATTACTGAGATATCTTACAAGTCTCATTAAAGAGTTTTGATTCTTTTGAAAAAATGATGGAATAAGAGGGAAATCATAATATCTAGCTTCTAGAACTAAACCTCCTTATTTAATGGTATCTTTTCCTGAACTTGCTAACAACTTTTTTCATTCCCATAGGAAGTCTAACATGTAACAACGTCCTTTCCGCGAGGCAGTTCAAAGATATTAAGTTATTCTTACTGATTGTGTCAGATATTAATTTCTGAATGACTACTGAAGCAGAGTTTCCTACATGTACAGTTTCCTGTGATATACAGGATGTAATTCTTAGATGAACTCATTCACAAAAACAGACTGAGGGAAGCAGTCAACATCAAAGAAAACAAATAGATAATTATCATTTTTCTGATCTATTAGTAGTGGGTTTCAGTGTAAAATAAGGAAAACAATAAAAACCAAATAAGGAATAAGTTATATAGAAAACAAAATACATAAAACTTTACATGTAAAATAAATTAAATAAAACGAAGATATCTTTAAAACATCACCTCAGGATTTTTCCTAGCTTCATATTATATCTATCTATCTATTTGTACCTATCATATATACCATGTGATATCTATAGTGTAAATGGTCAGAGAATTAAACCCCTCCTCTATTTGTTTTGAACAGTTTGCCTCACGAAAAGGAAAAGCTACCCAGCTACTCTTGTGCAGAGGTCCAAATCCTCATGTTTTGGGAAGACACAAAGTTTCTTGCCTTGTAAAAACATTCTCCATGTGTTAAAGAGTTGCACCACAGATTATAACTAGGCTAAGATACAGGCTTTATCAATATGAGATTTTCTTTTTTTAGGACTTTACCTACTAATGTAATCTCTCTTCTGGTAATTGACATGTTTGATCAGTGGTGATTCCAAGAAAACTCATCCCTTTGGAGGAAGAAACCTAAATGTTCCACTTACACACCTCATGTTTTCATAGCTATTGAATTTCCAAGCTCAAAGTAGTGCCTTTAGAGGAAAAAAAACTATTGGCATTCTACTAATTCCTGTTTAACCATGTCAAGAAGGACATTGTTCAAGATGTGTTTCTCTGTTATTGCCCTTAACTCTTCCCCAAAGCAAACTATAATAATATTTAATGCATAAAAGACAACTAGAGTGCTAGACTACTGATGTATTGGAAATGGCAAACATGGAAAATCTTCTGGGTATAGGCCTACGCAGGTCATCAATTTGGCGATTCTACAAGTATCAACAGGGATGCATCCAAAGAGTTACACCCAAAATACCAGGAGACTGGAAGAAAGGCCAAGAGGGAAAAAAAATACTGCTAGTCTTTATCAGC